TAATATGCATTATACAGTATATAATGCAACCGATACTGACCACCACACTATGGAGAAAATTGAGAGGAGGCCTAACCACAGGCCCTTCACCAGAAATCATGAAAAATAGATGTAGGACTGGATCTTGATATCATGTTTATATAAATATTACCAGAACGCGAAAAAAGTACTCAGAATGTTATTCCTTTTTCATTTAAACAATTTTGACTATAAAAGTTCAAAACTAGTCTCAAAATTGAAGTAACAAATGAATCAGAAATTTAATTTTCTCCATAAAATGTTATTACCTCTGTCGATACAAACAAAGTAGTACAAAATGGTACAAAATGGTATCAAAACATTTTAAATTACTATTAAAAATCTTTTTGTTTAACAATTTCTAAAAATTACAACTGTAATTCTTCCAAAATTCAATAATTTCTTTCTTGATTAAATATATTTAATATTCTATTTAGCATTTTATTTAATAGTTAGGACTATGTTTTTCTAGGAAAGACGAAAAATCAGCATCTGTTTAGAGTATCAAGTTCAGGAGAGAGAAGGAGAGTGAAGGAGAGAGGGAGCGAGAGAGAGAGAGATGAAAAGAACATTTGTTGAGAGTTTAATAGTGTAGAGTCTACCGTTGAACGTAAAGTCAAGGTGCCTCTCACTCTCGTTCTACTCCACGAAAAGTAAACGCGAATCCATGTAATCAGATACTTTTCGATATCACGTGGAGTGGCGTCACGTAGCGTGTTTCCACCTTAACTCTATGGGGTCCCAGTGGACCCCACGACGTGCCCACGACACTGATCTCCAGGGTTAAGCCGCCGTCGGATCCGGGCCAAGGCTTCCCCTTCTTATACCAACCGAATCCCCCTCTCACTCTTTCTCTCAGCGGCGCCCAACCATCACAAAGTTCCCCGTTCAATCATAATATCTACAATTCTCTCTAATAATTTTCTCTCTCATCCATCTAATTTTCACTAATACTCATTTGTCTTCCCTTCTCATATACAATATATTCTGTAAACTCAATCGCAAACTATTCTTCCTCAATCTTTATCTTTATCCCTACTCATTGCTGCACTATACACTAAAATTACTCTATATTTTTCTTTTATTTTCCGCCTCAAGTGGTAATCTTTAATTTTAACACCAACTTTCAACTTTAAAAGAAAAAAAAAATGTTAATCCGATTTTGGGGTAAAAATTCCCTGCAAACAAATTTTCTCAAATTTTCTAGATGAGGTAGCCACTAAAGGGCTCGATAATAATAATTTTAAATTTTTTACCAAAGGGTGGAGACAATTAAATAAGTAAAGTGTTTTTGAAGAGCACAAAAATATTGAAGCTAAATGCCATAAAAGAGAAGAAAAAATGTTGAATTTTAAGAAATTCGGATTTTTGAATTTTTCGAATTTTTAATAATTTTAGATTTTTTACCAAAGAGTCGAGACTATTAAATAAGTAAAGTATTTTCCAAGAGCACAAAAATAATGAAGCTAAACGCCATAAAAGAGAGAAAAAATGTTGAATTTTAAGAAATTCGGATTTTTGAATTTTTGATAATTTTCGATAATTTTCGATTTTTTACCAAAAAATCGAGACTATTACAATAGTAAAGTATTTTCTAAGAGCACAAAAATAATGAAGCTAAATCCCATAAAAAAGAGGAAAAAATGTTGAATTTTAAGGAATTCGGTTTTTTGAATTTTTGACAATTTTTCAAAATTTTAAATTTTTAGCCAAAGAACAGAGATAAAAAATTGGGTAAAGTGTTTTTAAAGAGCACACAAATAGTGAAGCTAAATGCCATAAAACAGAAGAAAAAATATTGAATTTTAAGAAATTCGGTTTTTTGAATTTTTGACTATTTTTCAAAATTTTAAATTTTTAACCAAAGGACTGAGATAAAAAATTGGGTAAAGTGTTTTTAAAGAGCACAAAAATAATGAAGCTAAATGCCAGAAAACAGAAGAAAAAATATTGAATTTTAAGAAATTCGGTTTTTTGAATTTTTGACAATTTTTGAAAATATTTAATTTTTAACCAAAGGACAGAGATAAAAAATTGGGTAAAGTGTTTATAAAGAGCACAAAAATAATGAAGCTAAATGCCATAAAAGACAAGAAAAAATGTTGAATTTTAAGAAATTCGGATTTTTGAATTTTTGACTATTTTTCAAAATTTTAAATTTTTAACCAAAGGACTGAGATAAAAAATTGGGTAAAGTGTTTTTAAAGAGCACAAAAATAATGAAGCTAAATGCCAGAAAACAGAAGAAAAAATATTGAATTTTAAGAAATTCGGTTTTTTGAATTTTTGACAATTTTTGAAAATATTTAATTTTTAACCAAAGGACAGAGATAAAAAATTGGGTAAAGTGTTTATAAAGAGCACAAAAATAATGAAGCTAAATGCCATAAAAGACAAGAAAAAATGTTGAATTTTAAGAAATTCGGATTTTTGAATTTTTCGAATTTTTAATAATTTTAGATTTTTTACCAAAGAGTCGAGACTATTAAATAAGTAAAGTATTTTCCAAGAGCACAAAAATAATGAAGCTAAACGCCATAAAAGAGAGAAAAAATGTTGAATTTTAAGAAATTCGGATTTTTGAATTTTTGATAATTTTCGATAATTTTCGATTTTTTACCAAAAAATCGAGACTATTACAATAGTAAAGTATTTTCTAAGAGCACAAAAATAATGAAGCTAAATCCCATAAAAAAGAGGAAAAAATGTTGAATTTTAAGGAATTCGGTTTTTTGAATTTTTGACAATTTTTCAAAATTTTAAATTTTTAGCCAAAGAACAGAGATAAAAAATTGGGTAAAGTGTTTTTAAAGAGCACACAAATAGTGAAGCTAAATGCCATAAAACAGAAGAAAAAATATTGAATTTTAAGAAATTCGGTTTTTTGAATTTTTGACTATTTTTCAAAATTTTAAATTTTTAACCAAAGGACTGAGATAAAAAATTGGGTAAAGTGTTTTTAAAGAGCACAAAAATAATGAAGCTAAATGCCAGAAAACAGAAGAAAAAATATTGAATTTTAAGAAATTCGGTTTTTTGAATTTTTGACAATTTTTGAAAATATTTAATTTTTAACCAAAGGACAGAGATAAAAAATTGGGTAAAGTGTTTATAAAGAGCACAAAAATAATGAAGCTAAATGCCATAAAAGACAAGAAAAAATGTTGAATTTTAAGAAATTCGGATTTTTGAATTTTTGACTATTTTTCAAAATTTTAAATTTTTAACCAAAGGACTGAGATAAAAAATTGGGTAAAGTGTTTTTAAAGAGCACAAAAATAATGAAGCTAAATGCCAGAAAACAGAAGAAAAAATATTGAATTTTAAGAAATTCGGTTTTTTGAATTTTTGACAATTTTTGAAAATATTTAATTTTTAACCAAAGGACAGAGATAAAAAATTGGGTAAAGTGTTTATAAAGAGCACAAAAATAATGAAGCTAAATGCCATAAAAGACAAGAAAAAATGTTGAATTTTAAGAAATTCGGATTTTCGAATTTTTGACTATTTTTCAAAATTTTAAATTTTTAACCAAAGGACTGAGATAAAAAATTGGGTAAAGTGTTTTTAAAGAGCACAAAAATAATGAAGCTAAATGCCATAAAAGAAAGGAAAAAATGTTAAATTTTAAGAAATTCGGATTTTTGAATTTTTGACAATTTTTCAAAATTTTAAATTTTTAGCCAAAGAACAGAGATAAAAAATTGGGTAAAGTGTTTTTAAAGAGCACAAAAATAGTGAAGTTAAATGCCATAAAACGGAAGAAAAAATATTGAATTTTAAGAAATTCGGTTTTTTGAATTTTTGACAATTTTTGAAAATATTTAATTTTTAACCAAAGGACAGAGATAAAAAATTGGGTAAAGTGTTTATAAAGAGTACAAAAATAATGAAGCTAAATGCCATAAAAGACAAGAAAAAATGTTGAATTTTAAGAAATTCGGATTTTCGAATTTTTGACTATTTTTCAAAATTTTAAATTTTTAACCAAAGGACTGAGATAAAAAATTGGGTAAAGTGTTTTCGAAGAACACAAAAATAATGAAGCTTAATGCCATAAAAGAGAAGAAAAAATGTTGAATTTTAAGAAATTCGGGTTTCGAATTTTTGACAATTTTTGAAAATTTTAGGTTTTTTACCAAAGTGTTCCAGTTTCAGCTTCATTTAAGTAAAAACATATTCAAAAAAAGAAGAATTAAAATTCAATTTGCGACTTGGTTTACTAACCAATCACTCTGCACATTTCACTAAATAGGAACCCAAGTGCACTTAATTTCCAAACTCCACACACGAAGGTTTTTCACGAGTTTTTCAATGTAATACTATTTTTAGGAAATCATGGGCACCATAATTACTGACTATTGATAAAAAAAATCCCTCTGAATTAAAATTAATTTTAGTTCCCAGGCACCCAGTTGTTAGCACCCACTTAATTTTGAAAAATAAATATTTTTCTGTTTTAAACCAACATAAAATTTTGAAAAATTAACCGAGTGCCAATTGGCACTCGGTTAATTTTTCAAAATCTTTAATTTTAGATTCATATTTTTGTTTAAAACCAACATAAAATCTTTGAAAATTGACCTGGGTTCTGATACAGATAACTGGGTACCAGTTTCAGTTACATTTTTCTACTCAAAAACAAACATAAAAACTCGAAAAATTAACTGGGTGCTGATACAGATAACTTGGTACCAGTTTCATTATCCTTAAAACCAACACCAATTTTTGAAAATGGAACTAGTTCCTGATCCAGCTAACTGGGTGCCAGTTACTACTTCAAGTCTCCCAGTCAATTTTTCTACAACATTGGGCTTTTTAAGTTTCTCTCCAGAATGTAAAAAACCACATGTTACCGAAAAATCCACTTGTGAGCCAAACCTAATAAGAAATCCTTTCACACAAAAATTATTCCATCATCTCTCAAAATAAGATGAAGAGAAAATCAGCTGTTACAAAAGAATAGCAAAAAAACGACTTACCCTGCATTTTCAGCGGCAGCAATGGACATGTGCCTCCTCTCATCGAGGGTGGGCGTGGCGTGAAACTCCTGAGGGTGATCTCCTTGATAATGAATGTGGTTGTTGAGCGCAAATGAAGATCACGTGGTCGTCCCTCTTCAGCGCAAGAAGAATCAGAAGTTAAGTCAGTAACAGGAACAACAGCAATAGCAGAAGGAGCACCACAAAAAACACCAACTTTGTGTGTTACAAAATAAGAACTCTTTCTTTTCGTGAAATATACACATACACACAAACACTCGCGCACTGAATTCCAAACTGAGAATTTAAAACTTCACTGCGTTTTATAATCCACACGGGCCAAGTTTTGACGCACGGCACACTAGTCTGGCAACATTCGCCCTTTCTTTATATTCCCCTCACTTCCTCTCTCTTGTCTTTGTCTGGGGCCCTAGGACCAGTTTCCCCGTATTCTAAACGACTAGCTAGGATCGAAACTAGACTGAACTCACGGAGAAGACTCTTTCTCTTTCTTTCTTTCTCTCTCAAAAATCGTGGTCTGGTCTGCCTTCTCGTTCCAATTTATTCTTCCTGAAACGTTTGCAGCAACGAAGAATCCTTCCTGGAAGTTTCTCGCCAGATGCGAAGGGAAGCCTTCTTTTCGTTCAAAAACGAAACCCTCTCTTAGAAGAGAGATAGACACAATCCTTCTTCTTCTTCTTCTTCTTCTTCTTTTTCTCCTTCCTTTTTCTTCACCGCCTACTTATTTCGGCTTTTGTCCTCCGGGTATCCAACAAACCTCTCTTTCTCTCTTCTTACTCTTTTCTCGTTTTTATTTCTCCTCTCGATTCAACTCTCTTTTTCTTCTTTCGACTGTTTTCTCTCTTTCCTTTCTTCTTTTGACTATTTTCTCTCTTTTTCTTCCTCTTTCGACTATTTTCTCTCTCTTTCTCTTCTTTCCTTCGACTATTTTCTCTTTTTTCTTCCTTTAAAAATCAAGTCTCGATTCAAGACCTTTGTTTTCAGAGACACGTCGAACCTCGTGAAAAATGAGGATTAGTTTTGTATCATCAGGATAACAACAGACGAGATCTCACTTTCCGAGTTCCTGACCCTTCTCTCTCTCTCTCTTTTAAATTTACACAAACACAAATATACACCGGTTTCTTGAATATTCAAGTTCAGGGGAGACGAGTGTCAATTTTCGACAATCTCATGCAATTCACGGAGGTCGTGATTCTTGTCTCGATCATCAGGCAGTTCCGGTCCTTAAAACAAAACCGAAATAGGGTCCCGATTTCGCCGCTGATCCTGTGGATAAGAAAACGAATATAATTAGAAATGAAAAATCGGATTTCTTCTTTGCCTAACGTTCTACTGATTCATTTTTCTCCTGTTATAACCATTTTCTAATTCTACTTTTTACTTCATTATTATTTCCATTTCTGCTCATATTTATAAAATTTTATTTAAATCGCAATTGTGCCACGCTCCGAAGACATAACTAAGAAGCTAAATTTTAGTTTATGTTTGTCATTTTAAAATAGGCCCGTCATTCACGAATCATAGTTTTATTGTTAATTAGCTGTTTCCTACTGTAGTTCAGATTTAGGGAATAAAATCTAATTTTACTAAAAAATATTTTTGTATAAAAAAGTTACTTTGTATAAAAAAAATAAAAGATGTTTTGATTCTTCTGTCTGTATAAAAAAATTACTCTGTATAATTAAAAAAGAAATTCTCATCTAAGTATTTACTTAGTTAGTCTAATTTGAATATTTTCTTTTTTTCTAATAGTAATTGTTAAGAAAATATTCAAAATAGAACAAAATATCGTTCATTTGAACGTTCAAAATTTTAGGAACATAAACCATACTTGACAAAAAAAGGAAAGAAAAAAATTTGTACGAATTTATAAACGGAAAATAATCTGTAAGGTCAGGGATAACAGAAAAATTGCCGACAACATTTAAGACGAGAGTAAAAATAATATTGAAAATTATCTCTGATGTCACTGCATATTGAACCTCCTTTTTAAAACAACGATAAAAACAAAAATTAAAAATTACACAAAACATGATTAAAGAATAATATAATATAAAAAGAAGAAAAATATTTGTTGAAAAATTCCAAAAATTATATTTTTTCTAAAAATAATTGAATTCTTTCGAAGAATTTTATTATTTTTGAAAATAATTGAATTCTCGTAAAGAATTTTATGGAAATTTTTGAAAACGCAATTGAATTTTCTAAAAGAATTTTATTCACAATTTTTCAAAAATAATTGAATTTCTTTAAAAAAATTTTGTATAATTCAAAAAAACTAATTAATTTTTTGATGAATTTTAATTAAAAATTTTGAACATGATTTTTCTTCTCCAAAATGTTAAAAATAATTCTAAAAAAAATTGTAATGTTATTATTTTTTTGTATGTATTTATGAATTTTCGGAAATATTGAACTGAAAATACTGAAAAAATTGAATTTTAAAAAATTAGAAGTTAATTTTTATTAATTTTCATTTTTAAATTTACATTTAAAGATTTTTCATTAACATTTTTGATAATTCAATTATTTTCAAAATTTCCTATTAAAATTCTTCAAAAGTTAATTTTCAATAATTGTAACAAAATATTTTTTATCATTACCATTACTCATTTCTAGAATTTTCAACTAAAATTCTTCTTTAAGTCAATTTTATAAAATAATTTTTGAAAAACTTCTTTGTGAATTTTCAAATTCTTTTGTTTACAATTTAATTTTGCGAAATTTCGATTCTTCTGACATTCTTCAATTAAAATTGGAAATTAAAAACTTCAAATAATTAAAAAAAAAAATCCAATTAAACTTATTGAGAAAAATTAATTCTATAGAATTCTTAATTAAAGGTATGAGAAGTTCAAATTTTATAAGATTTTAATTTGAAATTCATTATTCAATCAATATTTATTAGAAAATTCTACGAGAATTCAATTATTTAACTATAAAAATAAATATTTTATTAATCAATTGAATTTTCATAAAGAATTTTATCAAAACAATTTTTTAAATAGTTGAATTCTCTTGACAAATTTTAATACAATTTTTAAAAATAATTGCATTTTTCGAGAAATTTGATGAAAATTGTATTAAAAATAATTGAAATTCTGCCAAGAATTTTATTAAAAGTTTTGAAAATAATTGAATTTCGAAGAAAAATTTTATTAAAGATAATTGAAATTTTGACAAGAATTTGTATAAATTTTTAAACATAATTGAATTTTCAGAAATAATTTTGTTATTTATCTTTAATAATTGAATTCTTTCGAAGAATTCTTGAAAAGAATTTTATTAAAATCTAAAAGAATAATTCAATTTTTCAAAAAAATTTAATTAAAATTGTATTGAAAATAATTCATTTCTTTTGAACAATTTTATTAAAATATTTCAAAATAATTAAATTCCTGTGAAAATTTCTAATATTTTTGTAAATAATTGATTTTTTCGAGGAATTGAAATTAAATTTTTAATAATAATTACATTTTTTGAGGAATTCCTGTAAGATTGTATTAAAAATAATTGAAATCCTGCGATGAATTTTATTATTTATAATAAAAATTGAATAGTTGCAAAGAATTATATTAAAATTTTCAAAAATAATTGAATTCCTGAGAAGAATTTTATTATTTATGAAAATAATTGAATTCTTGCTGACGATTTTATTAGAATTTTTGAAAATAATTGAATTTCAGAGAAATATTTTATAATTAATTTATAATTTATAATTTATAATTGAAATTTTGGAGAAAAATTTTTGTAAATTTTTAAACATATGTAATTGGATTTTTGCGAAGAATTTTATTAAAATTATTTTGAAAAAAAATTGAATTGTTACGCAAAGAATTTCATTAGAATTTTTGAAAATAATTTTATTCTTTAAAGAAATTTAATTAAAAATGTGTTGAAAATAATACTTAAATTCTAATAAATAATTTGTAACAAAGGTTATTAAAATAATTAAATTTCTTTGATAAATTTTAATAAAATTTTTAAGAATAATAACTTTTTTCGAGGAATTCCATTAAAATTGTATAAAAAAATAATTGAAATTCAGAACTGAGTTTTATTATTTATGAAAATAATTGAATCCCTGTAAAAAATGTTATTGTTTATGAAAATAATTGAGTAATATAAGAAAATAATTAAATTGCGTAGAATTTTATTAAATTTTTTTTTAACTAATTGAATTCTTTTAGGAATTTTTATTAAAGTAGTAGATATTAAAAATGATTAATTTGAGGTAGAATTGTATTAAATTTTTTTTTGAACTAATTGAATTCTTTTAGGAGTTTTTATTAAAGTAGTAGATATTAAAAATGATTAAATTGAGGAAATTTTTTGAAAATAATTAATAATTGTAGCGAAGGTTATTAAAATAATTAAATTTCTTTGATAAATTTTAATAAACATTTCTCGAGGAATTCCATTAAAATCGCATTAAAAATAATTGAAATTCAGTTATTTCTCCTACAAAAATTAAAAAAAAAAATTGTCATATAAAAATCAATTAGTAGAAACTATTCTTTGCGTTTGTGGCATCATTTTAATTGATTTAAACGTTTCATCAAGAGCTGAGAGACATAAATCACTTGACGAATTATACTTGTTATCATAATAAACCCTCGACTCTCGCCCCTTTTTCTTATGAAACTTGTAAGTGAAATTAACTGGAAAAATTGACCCATCTAACGTTACTATCGCATCGGTACAATGCAATGTCTGAGACGACGTTCTGTATACAGAAGTGAATCTAACGGAGTCCCCTCCAAGTATATACTTTGGTCCGATATTTCTATCGTCTATCTATGACTATCCCGTTCTACTGCATGAAAACGCGACAGTCCGATGTTAAGTAGTAACAGTCAGTTGCACCGTTAGAAATTCACTCTATATATCTATGTCCATGTGCACTTCCAACTCTTCCATCCTGAGAGTGCAATATCAACAGACTTTTACGATTCGATTTTATGCCTCTTCGCTTCTTGTATAAACGAGCAAACATCTATTTTAATCCATCTCTCTTTCAAAGTCTATTTAAATTTACACTCATTATAATAATTTTTTATTCAACGCCCATTTTTTTTCTCCGTTCATACCGAAATGAAAAAAAAAAAAGATAATCACTCTTATATAATTCAAAACACTTTAATAAATTAACATCTTAGACAAGTTTTCTAAAATAAATTTATGTAAAATTCCCATTTTTTCGGAGAGAGAATCTGAAAATATTTACTTGATTTTTATTCTATTAATGCCCCTAAAAAACTTTTTCGAAGAAATTTATTTATTTTTTCTTTTAAATTCAAATTCTGTTTTCTAAATAATATTACGTCAGGTACTTTTAAAAAATAATTTATAGTTTCAAAATGTTTATAATTTACATTTATATTGTTGATTTTATTACAATTCCCCATAAAAACTAAGAAGAAAAATTCGAATTATAATAAATTAATAATTATTCTAATTTTGATGCCAAATCTCTTTCTATACACACTACCACTATATAAAATTCAATTTTTCTTCAGGGGAAAAAAAGAAATTTTCGAGTTTTACTATCAAACAATTTAAAGCATATTTTCTCTCTAGAAGAAAAATTTAAATTAACCCAAACTTCTTTAAATCGTTTTCATGCTCTAATGCTTTTAATATTCAATTATTACCTAAAATTTTAACTAAAATTCATTTTTAAATCAATTTTTATTAGAAAATTTTACGAGAATTCAATTATTAAAATAAGTACAAAAATAAATAATTTATTGAATAATTAAATTGTAACTGTAAAATTGTACCAAAAATTATTGAAATTCTGCGATGTGTTGTATTATTTATGAAAATAATTGAATTCTTAAAAAGAATTTCTTTAATTAGGCGAAAATAATTGAATTCCTGTGAAAATTCTATATTATTTATGAAAATAATTAAATGTTTGCGTAGAATGTTCTCACGAATTTTTTTAAATAATTGAATTCTTTTGAATGATTTATTAGAATTTTTAAAAAATGAATTCATTTCAAATATTTTATAACGAATTAAGAAAAAAATTGAATTCTTTCGTGAAATTTTATTAAAAATAAATTGAATTTCTGCAAAGATTGTACTATTTAAAAAAAATAATTCAAATGTTTCGACGGATTTATTAAAATTTTATAAATTAATTGAATTCTTTCGTGAAATTTTATTAAAATTGTATTGAAAATAATAATAATAATAATAATAATAATAATAATAATAATAATAATAATAATAATAATAATAATAATAATAGTAATTATGTTATTATTTATGAAAATAATTGAATTCTTACTAAGAATTATATTAATATTTTTGAAAAATATAAACAATAGTTTGAATTGTTAAAATTTGTTAAAAATCCAACTTCATTAAAATTACTAATTAATTTTATTAAAAATTCAAATTTTATAAAATTGCAAATTAAAACCTTTTGAAGTTCATCTATTTATGAAAACTGTAAACGCAACTCTTTTGAAATTCAATTAATTTTGAAATATTGAAGTAAAATTACCATTAAATAATTTCTAAGTAATAATTTTATTATAGTTCTTCAAGAATTAAATTATTTAAAAAGAAAATTATTGTCAGAAATAAAAGAATTGAAAGTTTTGTTTTAGAATTCATGATAATTTCGTTTATAAGGCAAACAAAAAAAACACCAAAATTCAGAATTTTCTTATTGAATTCTAAAAATTTAATTTTTTTCAGTACTTTTAATAAAAATCCCTGACTTTTCCCTGATTTCCCTGACCTGTGGCAACCCTGACAACTCTTCACAATATTTCAAAAGTGAAAATAGTGAAAAATAAAAAAATAAAACCCAAATTGTCCTCATAAATAATTTTATAGATATTATTTCGAATTTAACCACGCGAGTTTAACTAATTCAAAAGTTCGTCTTCTTGTGCGCCGCGATGTAAAAAAAAGAGAAAAAAAGATAAATCCCTTTCTTTCAGGGGTTTTATTGTCACAAAAGCACTATATAGTCATATAATGCACATAATAGGGCTTAGTAAGCACAAAAGAATTTCAGAGCCTTCGCCGGAAGATCATACAACGTCGTTTCTTGAGAAACTTGTTGGATATCGTGTTCCCTTCGAAAGTACCTCTTTGAAACATGCTGACCATTGCGAAATATCATAGGAAGGTTATCGATAGCGTTTCTAATTGCATTATAGTGCACGTGTGTGTATATATATATACATACAGAAATGGAAAATTGAAAGTATAATTATAAACCAAAGAGAAATAATACTCAAAAAACTTCATTGTTATCGTAATACATTTCAAAAGTTACTATAAAAATACCAAAAAATTAAATTACTAAAAAAAAGAATATGTAAAAGAAAGAATGAAGAAACATTTGTCAAACATTTTTTATGAAAATTAATTTTTTCATTTGAGAAGAAAAAGAAATAACACACATATTTGCGAGTTATTAATAACTTTTTTTTTCTCTTTTTTAATAAATAAACTGTTCTTCGTCAATCAAGCCAAAGATACACCGCATAACAGCTGTTTCTTTCAGAGCTCAAACACTAACCTTGAAACGAAATGAAAATGGAAATTTAAAGGCTAAGAACTAAATATGTCTTCCCTAACGTAAAATTTATTTTTCTTCGATTCAACATTTTTTTTTCTTCACTGCCTCTCACGAAACCAATAAATATATAATTTTCCTCCAACACTAAAGTGAATTTCAAATACAGTAAAACCTCCATTATATCTCGAAGGGAAAATATTTATTCACAATTTGTACGAAACCTTTTTGAATTCAAATTAGAAAAAGTATTTCTCAACTTCAATTTATTTGTGAGGTTTCGAAAAAAAAATGTCGATAAAAAAGAAATGAAGGTAAATATTTATAAATACAGTAGAACCTGATTATGTTGGAAAACATATTTTTCTTTCCGAAGCCTTTCAATTAATAAAAGAGAAGAGAGAGAGAGAGGAAACTTTCCTTACATTCTCGAATTGAATTAAAAAAAAAAAAAAAATTACCTAACACAACACGAAATTATTAAGGTTAATGAGATTTTTAATTATAAAATATTTCCTTCATATCGAAATCAAGATGATCACGAGTTTCCTTAACCTTTGTTTCTAACTTTGATAACAGTGTGGAAAATAAAAATTTACAATTTAATTGAGTGGAATTATTTTAAATATTCTTCACGGAGCTCATATTTTTATCTCAAATGTATAAAGTGTATAAAGTGTATAAAATGTATAAAATGTATTAAATGTATAAAGTGTATAAAATGTATTAAATGTATAAAATGTATTAAATGTATTAAATGTATAAAACGTATAAAATGTACAAAATGTATAAAATATACATATATAATCTTACTGATTGAATTTATTACTTAATTCCCTTAATTCAAATCGAATTGAGTCATTTAATTGTAGAAAATGGTAATACATAAAATGTTAATTTAAAAACTATTTATTTTGAACTACTTTTAATTATTTTCCAAAAATACGTTCTTGATTGACAAACATACAATGGACTAATTAAATTTTTCTTCTTTAAATTTAAAATTCATTACGATAAAAATTTTAAAAAAGAAAAAAATATATTGTTCCTTATATTGGAGGCGAAGTGACGTTGCTGAATCGTCAAGTTCTACGAATCGATCGCGGTATGCAACCTCGTCGCAGTTTTTAGGTTACCCCGTTCTCTCTAATTCTATCCCTCTCTCTCTCTCTCTATCTATATCTCCATAGTTGCTTGAATCAAACTCACCTGAATCTCTTTGGATTTTACGTCAGCGTTTGCGTCTTGGTCTCACAACTCCAGTTGAAGGATCTTTCAAAGAATCACTCATCTTCAGGGGCGCATCAAGACATTCGTGATAGAAGCTCATAGACACGCGCACACACTATATGCCAAGGAGAAAAAAGAAAAAATGATAAAAAAAAAGAACCAACAAAAAAAAAACAGGAAAATTTCCAACAATTAGAAGAAATTTGTCGCGCACTGTTCTCGAAGCGCGACGAACTTGACTTAATCCTTATCCAGCGACCCGTCCACTAACACTAGGTGAAAGAAAACGGGGCGTACAGGGTCCACGCGTTGTTCTCCTTGCGCGAATCATTCGTCTGACCGTTCACAGAAGACATTTCGAAACACATGCGTTTCGTTGCGCGGTTTTTATACAATATATTTTTAATGACACACGCACACAGACACAAAAAAACACTGTCAAAATAAAATACACGACGACGACCTTCTTTCACGAGCCGAAAATCTCACTGGTTGATTAAACGCCTGCATTCCTGTCAATCGATTTCACAGGCCTGAGAGACTCTGCTTTAGTGCTTCGCTCGACTGCACACACCACCGGTTCGTGTAGGTTATGGACAGTATTCATTCGCGGCGCCACAGTTTGCGAAAAAACTTCGTTTACACGTGTGTACATATATATATATAAATACACAATCACAGAAAATAAATCCCAACAGTCCTAAAACACGAGGCAATAATCGCAATGTCGTCGATCTCTGACCAAAAGAGCGAGGACGTCGTCCTCTTGGCGAGCGGTATATTTTTTTAGGTTGGACGCCTGCGTGTGAGACGTTTCTCAATGTATTAGTAAAAGACACAGAACTGTCCTTCAAAGACTATAGTCCTTTCTCTCTCACACTATTTTACACCCGAATTCTCCATTTACTTCACTATTCCCCCATTTACTCCATTTTTTTACAATTTACACAGTGTTTTAAAACACTTTGATTTCAATCTTTTCTCCCCCAAACTATAATCCCTTTTTTAACAAACTCTGGTTCACGCGCGTGTCTGTGTGTGCACTTGATTAACCGTGTGACGTCACAACACGGTTACATTGCTGGCAATTGTTATACCAGTAACAATAATCAATTTACAATAGACGAATTGATAGACATTTTTTATATCACAACACTAATTGCGCAATTCACACTTATTAGAGGCGATTTAGCAACAAAATTTTGCTGTTTAACAGCAAAAAATTCCCGGTACAAATCGCCTTGCGCTTTATGTTGAACACAACTGACTCGAACGCAACCAAACGCCAACAAACTATGGAAATATTAATATACCACCAGGTGGCACTGTTTATCGTGTGTTCGGAAAAAGGGGACTTTACGTGTCGGTGGGCCGTGGAGGAAAAATTTTTTCTAAACACGACGAGAACACAAACACGACGAGGAACCACGAAAATTAACGAATTTTTGGTGAAAACTATTCAATATCAAGAGCACCAAACTGCAATCGTTTGTCTGAATACTGCCACGAAAGCTGCGCGAACTGAACTGTGGCGCCGTCTGTCGGATAACGGTCGAAGCGCTGGGAGTTTACTTTGCGCGCGAAAATTCAAATTTTCTTATTCTTTTTCAATCTATTTTGTACTAAACCGCCTAAGAAAAATTGTTTCTTAAATTTTATTCTATAAATTTAAATAAATTTACGATTTATTTAATAATATTAATAAAATTCTAATTTTACTTTATGCGCGAAAATTCAAATTTTGTTAGCTTTTTTAAATCTATTTTACTAAAACGCCTAAAAGAATTTCTGACTTTTTAAAATTCTTAATTAATAAATTTAAATAAATTTTCGATTATTAAATAATATTAATAATAATAATTTACTTTGCGCGCGAAAATTCAAATTTTCTTTCACACCTTTTTCAATTTTTTTTACTAAAACGCCTAAAACTTCCGGTTTTTAAAATTTTTATCAATAAAATTAAATAAATTTTCGATTATTTAATAATATTTAATAGAACAATATACTTTGCGCGCGAAAATTCAAATTTTTTTTACATCTTTTTCAATTTTTCACTAAAATGTCTAAAATAATTTCCGGTTTTTTAAAATTTATTCAATAAATTTAAATAAATTTTCGATTATTTATTAATATATTAATGAAACAATTTACATTGCACGCAAAAATTCAAATTTTCTTTGCTACTTTTTTTAAATTTTTTACTAAAACGCCTAAAACAATTTCCGGTTTTTTCAATTTTATTCAATATGTTTAAACAAATTTTCGATTATTTAATAATTGAGAGAATATCAATTTTATTTTGAACGCGAAAATTCTAATTTTCTTTAACATGTTTCTTAATTTTTTTACTAAAACGCCTAAAAGAATTTACGGCTTTCTAAAATTCTTATTCAATAAATTTAAATAAATTTTCGATTATTTAATAATATTAATAAAATAACAATTTACTTTACGCGCAAAAATTCAAATTTTCTTTAAAACCTTTTTTATTTCTTTACTAAAACGCCTAAAAAAATTTCTGGCTATTTTAAATTTTATTCAATAAATTTAAACAAATTTTCGATTATTTAATAATTAAGAAAATACCAATTTAACTTTGAGCGCAAAATCCAAATTTTCTTTGGTACCTTTTTTAATTTTTTTACTAAACCGCCTAAAACAATTTCCGGCTTTTTAAAATTTTTGTTCAATAAATTCAAATAAATTTTCATTTATTTACTAATATTAATAGAACAGCAATTTTACTTTGTTAATCCTTTACAAAATTTGAAAACAATCGTGATTTCTGTCTTTTAAGTCTAAATTTTCCGAAATAAAATAGAACGAAAAATAAAATAAGAAAATTTGAATTAAAAAAAAAACGAAAATAAATAAATATAATTAATATAAATAGAAAAATAAATATATTACTGAGAACGTTTAATTTTCTAAATAAATTAATCAATAAATTAATAAATAAAAATATTAATAAGAACTTTTTGTCTTCTAAATAAATAAATAATTTAATTAATTAATAAAAATAAAATGTAAATGAATATAAATAAAATAAATAAATAAATAATAAAAGAAATATAAAGATGTGAAAAATGTATAAATTAATAAAAATTAATAAATAAAACTATTTTTTTCCAAAAAACTAAATTCTTTTGGATATAGAAACTTTTTCCAAACAAAAGTATTTACAGAAATTAAAATAAATTCAAAAACGAAAAAAAAAATTGTAATAAGCGAAAAATTACGATTGAAAAAATTCAAAAGACGAAAAATATAGTTATAAATAAATTACGAGAACCTAATAGAAAATTCGAAAGATCGAAGGACACGAAATTTCTTCTAATTGTTGGTATAAATTAATTAAATATATATATCTTCTATACAATGTACATATAGAAAAATTTCCTCTAAATTTATGTAAAACATTTAAAAATACTTTTGCATCAAAAGTCCTTTTTTTTGCAAAAAATATGTTTAAATATTCGAATAATTTTTTTTGTTTCATCTCTCTTTGCCGTATTTTTGTTGAAAATATTTTGTCAAATGTATATAGGTACCTATTTTAAATATTATTGATGAACGATATTTTGAAATGAATCAAGAACTTGTTGATTTCCTTTCTCCTCAGCTAATGCAAATGGTGAACGTCCTTTGTTATCCACAATCTTTAAATCAGTTTTTGACAGCAGTAATTTGCAGACTGGGACAGAATTAGAGATGACTGCACGATGAAGAGCTGTATATCCATCTGCGTCACGAATATTCGGATTAGCTCCCGATTTCAATAAGAATTCTGCGATTTCGTTATGACCTTGACTCGCTGCTCTATGAAGTGTAGTTGCTTGCCCTGATCGTGTCAATGCATTGACATTAGCACCATTTTCTAACAATAACTTACAAATTTTATTGTGACCGTTCCTTGCTCCGTAATGCAGTGCCGTATATCCTGAATTATCTTCAATATTAACTGGTGTTCCTTTTTTCAATAAATAATCAACTCGATTCACATCATTCGATTGGGCTGCAAAGAAAAACAGTTTAATAAATAATTATGTAATTAATTTAATTACTACAAGTAAATATAAATTTTTAAATTGCAGTAAATTTTTTAATTTCAAATTTCTAATTTTTAGTTTTTAATTTTCAAAGTTTCATTATCGTTTCACTTCCTCTTTTTTTTTTTCTTTTTTTAATTTTCATTTAAATTTAATTGTTTAATTTTCCTCGAAAAGAAAGAAATTCGAATAGATAGCAAAAATAATAGTGAATTAAAATTATACGATTCGTTTTCAAATAAAAATTCTCACCAGCGTGCCAAATTCCTCTTTCGAATTCCATTTCCGATAAGGTTTGTCGAACACCAGAATTATTTTCAGAATTACAGCAACTTCCATCGTGAGAATGACTAGAGTCCATACTTTTTATCTGAAACTCACTAAAAAATCTTCAGTTGTATTAATTACGAAAATTATAAAAATTTCATTGGTAAAGAAATAATTTTTTAAAAATAATATTATACTTTAAAATAAATCTTGCTTGAATAAACAAAAAAGTAAATTTTTTTCAAACAAAAAAATCAATTCTTTTTTAATAAATTAAACAAATCAATTCCTTTTCAAAAAATTAATTCTATTTCAAATAATTTAAAAAAAAAATTCTTTTCTAAATAATTAAAAAAAATAATTGAAAAAATACTTTTTTAAAGAATTTTAAATAATTCTTTTTAGAAAAATGAAAATTGGATAAATTAAAAAATTAAAACTGGAATAAATAAACAAATTAATTAAAAAACTAATTTAGAAAATAATTTTTTCTAAATAATTAGAAAAAATATCAAAAATTTGTACAAAACTTTGTACAAAGATTTGTACACTAATTGTATATCAAATAATAATAAGAAATGAATTTTGAAAAAAAATTTTAAAGGTGAAATAAAAAAACCGAGTGACATCAAAATATTCAGTATATTGTTTACAGTTTTTGATATTATTATATGTATTTGTTATACAAGCATTAATTGAAAAATGCAAAAAACACGTGGATGATCAATCATATACATTATTTGATTATTTAAGTGCATGAAAGTGAATATTAGAACAAAAATGTCAATAAAAAAAAATTTCATTAATTAAAACAAAAAAGTAAAAGTTTTTTTAAAATCGAAAACAAAACTTAAATACTTTTCATTACATTTCATTTTTAATGAATGCATAATTAAATAGTATATTACGATACTAGGCCAGAAAGTTGGATTTCCTGGCCGGCGTGATATATAAGGCCGAGGCGAAGCCGAGGCTTTATATATCACGCTCGCTAGGGTATCCAAATTTCTGGCCGTGTGTCGTATACAATTTTTCTGTATCCCCAGCCTAAAGTACGTTAAATAATTATTGTTTGAATAATAAAATAGCTCAATAAGTTGCCCGCCCGACTTTTGCAAAGTCGAGGCGAAGCCGAGACTTAGCTGGTCGGGGCGGGCATGAAAAAAAAATTATAAATAAAAAATAATTGTAAGTAAAATTTAAAAAATAGTAAACAAGAAATTTTCTTTTATAAATAAATATTTAATAATTAAAAAATAATAAAAGAAAATAAGAAATTTCATGCATTATTTTGATGACTGTCAGTTGTTTTCAAAACGTGAGCTCTGTATGTAACGTGTCTGTGTGGTTGCTATGCTAACATGTACGTGTGTTGAAATTCTTGTAACCAATCAGAGCGCTCGTTGGGTCTGTCGAGCCGGCCACAAAAGTCGCTATTCCCGGAGCCAAATCAGACCGGGAAGACAGTACTTTCGGCAAAGGGATACAGAAAAATAGTTTTTTTAACCAAAGTGAGATAAAATCTCAACAAAAAAATCATCAATCAAGAATTTAAACTTTCATTAATAATAGTAATTTTTTTTAAACACTACTTAAAATACATTTTTTTCAGGAATGTTTTAGTATTAAATTCTTAACTCTACCTGAATTGAAAGATTATTAAAAACTGGAATGAAATTGTGAATTATGAAAATTCGATAGTTTGAAATGACTGAAGAACAAAAAAGGAATTACGTTTTTGGATTATTTTCTCGTTTTGCGGATTAGAAAAAATTTTCTGTTTTCTAGACTTTCTCTCAGGAACATTATCTAATTTCTCTAGATTCTAACTATTCAGATTAGTTATTCGATATTATTTCTATAGCGATAAATACTCTCTCTCTCCCTCTCTTATTAAATTAGAAAAAAAACTCATTTTCTCTCACGAGAAAGAGTACAATAAAATATTTTAAAAAAGAGATATAAAATTTTATGTACTATAACGAAATTTCCTTACTTTTTAAATTTAACAAAATATTCTATCTCATGTTTTTGGTCCACACACACTTCTTCTTTTTTCGTCTAGAAATTTTTCTCATTATTGATTGTAGACAATAAATATTGGAAGGAAAAAAAATATCGTTAAATTAAAAAGAAAATAAAAATCCGAAACATATCGAGAGTGCAATTACATCTATACACTTAGAAAAGAAAAATTCGTTTTTTTTTAAAAACAAAAAAAAAAAGAAAACAATTGGGAAAATTTAAGTTTCCCTTTGAAGGGTCCATAGGATCTCAGCCTCTCCAGTGGAGCAGACAACTTTGTAGCCTAATTCTGCCAAAGCATTGATGATATTCATTGGAGGCCCTGAAATTAAATTTAAAATTGAAATTACTAATGGCGAATTTTTATTTTTTTAAAATATAAAAGTATAAATATACAAATAAACAAAAAAATAAATATACATAAATTTAATAATAAATATAAATATAAATTAACTATAAATATGAATATAAATTTAATAATAAATAAAAATATAAATTTAACTATAAATATAAATATAAATTTAACTATAACTATAAATATAAATTTAACTATAAATATAAGTATAAATTTAACTATAAATACAAAAAATATAATAGAAGAAATAAAAATATAAAAACCTTTAATTAGCACGCCGTTAATAACATCAGTTCCAGAATTTGGAAAACGTTTAGACAAAGCCAAAATTTCATCTTGACCTAATCCAAAGACAGTGCAGTCACTGGCAAATGGTGATCCCTTAACAGCAATGTAATAATAATTCTCGGTACCGATATTCACTAATTTTCCAGACATTTTTCGCCCTTTTCCGTTCGATTGCTCGTCAGACATTTATTAGAATTCTTTAAACCTCGTTGTCTTTTAATTCTAAAATAAAAAACATTATTAATAAAACAATTTAACAAAACATGTCGAATTTTATCCCCTACTACTCATTATTACTTTAATAATTATCCAAATTTTTACAAACTGTATAAAATGTATAAAAAAAAAAAATTATACACATAAATATAAAAATTTAGCAAGTAAAAAAATTTATTTATTTATTTAAAAAAATTTACCATATAAATTAAAATATAAAAAATGTTAGTTAAAAAAGATTGTAGTACCTATAAATACAAAAAATAGTAGTTAAAAAAATTGTAGGTACTATAAAATAAACATTTTTTTATACATTTTAATTTAAAAATAGAGAGAAGAAAAATAAAATAAAATCGTTCAAGAAAAATACTTACAGTTAAAAATAATTGTGCCAATTGAAGAATTAAAAAATAATAATTACTTTTCAATTTCTTTTTATTTGGAGGTAAACTTTCCTTTTTGAAAATTAAAAAAACGTTCTGGCGAAATTAATTTTCGAAAATAAAACAAAGATCATTGATTATTGATCGAGATCAATATTAATAGTAAAATTTAAAAGTAAAATATTAATAAAATATTAGTAAAATAGTAATAGAATAATAATAGAATAATAGAAAAAATAATACAAGAAAATAGAAATAGAAATAAAATAATAGAAAAACGGATAAAAAAAAATTGATAATAAATAAAAAATTTGGTAACGTAGGTTTTTTAAGAATAAGAATTTTCTATTGTATTCAAAAGTATTATATTCTATGAATTCTTCAGTTATACATTTTTTTCAGATTTCTTAAATACAATCTGTAGGGTATAAAAAAAAATTTCTATACTGTTACAACGCATAAAACTTTTATATAACTTACATATTTCATGAATATTTTACGTAACTATCACATTATCGATGGGTTTTAAACGAAAAATATAAAGTAGAATTATTTTTTCTTTATAATTTACTAGGTTTACTACAAAAAATTAATTACTAACGAATAGAATATTTTTACTGAAATAATTACTAACAAATAGAATATTTTCACTGAAATAATTATTAACAAATAGAATATTTTACTAAAATAATTACTAACAAATAGAATTTTTTTACTGAAATCATTTCAAATAGACTTTGAAATAAAATTTGAAATTTGAATTACTGAAATAAATATAAACAAATAAACTATCTTACTCAAATAATTACTAACGAATAGAATTTTAAACTGAAATAATTACTAACAAATCGAATAATTTACTGAAATAATTACTAACAATATTTATTGAAATAATTACTAACAAATAGAATATTTTTACCAAAATAATTACTAACAAATAGAAATTTTCACTGAAATAATTATTAAAAAAATAGAATATATTTTACTAAAATAATTACAAAAAGAATATTTTTACCAAAATAATTATAAAAATAATAGAATTCCAATAAGTTAATTAACTTTTTTTTCTTAAACTATACAATTCGAGTCTCTAGAGGAAAATAATACAGACATGTTTCTTTATTGTTACGAACAATATTCTTTTCGCTCTAAAACCCATTGAAGATCTCTTTTCAAGCACCTAACACTACTTAATAAAATAACTTTTAAAAAACTTCTTTTTCAAAAAAAAAGGATAATATAAATAATTGGAATTTTTTTCACAAATAATGAAATATAATCTGATCATTTATTCAAAATATTTATCTCATATCTCATTAATAATTAACTAATGTTTTTTCTATAATTATTGTAAAATGATTCAGTGTAAAAAAAATTTACCTAAAATGTTTGAGATTATTGAAACAATTCGAAATGATTGAAATGACTTGGAAAATGATTCTTCGAAGAGAAAATTTACCTAAGAAAAATTGAAATCACTTGAAAAATAATTGAGCAAAGAAAATTGCGAAATGATTGAAATGACTTGGAAAATAATTCACCAAAGAAAATTCGAAATTATTGAAATAACTTGGATTCATCGTAGAAAAAATTTACCAAAGAAAAACTGAAATGACTTGGAAAATAATTCACCAAAGAAAATTCAAAATGGAAAATGATTTACGAAAAGAAAATTAACAAAAAAAATTCGAAATCATCGAAATGATTTCGAAAATGTACCAAGAAATTTTGAAATCATCGAAATTGTTTGGAAAATCATTTAAAAAAAGAAAGTGCAGAAACTATAAAGTAGAATCTAGAGTTGAAATTACACACTAGAAAAAACAAAAAAAAATTAATTCAAGAACGAATGATCCTTAAAAACGAATGATAAATGGCAAATTTACTATATTTCTATTATAGTAAAAAGAAAAATTATCACCGCGATGTGAAACATTGAATAAGAGAAGAAATGTAAAATTCTTAAATTTGAAAATTTGATATTATTTATTTTGATGACGATGATGAGGAAGTAGCAGCTTGTAATGATGTACAACTAAGAATACGTGGAATTCCCGCTCGACTTTGTTCAATTAATTGTCGTTCGCGTTCTTCTTTTAATTGCATCATTCGTGTATCGTGGGCCCATTTAACTTCACTTTGGGCCTTATCTCTCTCATATTCCCATTGAAATCTTTCAAATTCCATTGTCTTTCGTCTCAATTCAAGTTCAGCAATTCTTCTCAATGCACGCTTCTCTAAAAGTTGTTCCTGATAAATTTTACTCTGTAAAGGTGAATGATTTGAATGCACACGTGGTGTCATAATAGGCCACTGTGAAATTCGCCTTGGTATGTAAACTTTCCTCTGTGATTGTCGTGGTTGCTCTTGAGAAGAGGCTGAGAAAATTTTTCATTAAAATTACACATTCATTTAGAAACAAATAAATATTATCGAGAGAATTTCTCTAATTTCTTTTTTGTATTTTTTAATTACTAAATCTTGATAAAGTTCAATTGGAGAAATTCTCTAATAATTAATAATTAATAATTAAAAAATATTAATTAAATAATAAATCATTAAGTAAAAGATTTAATTTGTAGGTACATTAAATAAATATTTTAATTTTTATTTATTTTGCTCCCTTATGAGGAAACTTTGTATTATTATTTATATTTGTTCATTTATTTTCTTTATTATTATTAAATAAATAAAATAAATAATAGATAATTTTAAAATCGTACTAACCTTCAAAAACAAATTTAATCCAATTTATTAATTTTTAATAAATCACTATTGAAATTGAATTAATTTCTAAACTTTTTCAATTTTGTTCTTCTCACGTTTTCAATATTTCTGTATTGTTCAAATTTTCAATTTTTAAAATAAAAAAGAATTTACAGGGTTCCCTGATTTTTCCTGACCTGTGGCAACCCTGATTTGAATTTTAACCAACAAAAAAAGAAAAAAACAATTTTTTCTTTATAATTTACAAAAATATAAAGAAAAAAACAATTTTTTCTTTATAATTTACAAAAATATAAAATATAGAGAATAAAAAAAAATGATAAAAAATTTGCCAAAAAAGGAAAAGAAAATATTACCATTTGATTGTCCGCTCGCCTGGCTGGCGATCCACTCGGCTTTCGTTATTGTCTCCTCATGATCGGCATTTTCCAATTCAGTTTCACGGCCAACCCAGGATTCATCGTCCTGCATAATCAGTTCAACAGTTTGTGGCGCACTACTCGAACCTTCATCTGCATAATTCTGATTTCTGTATTCCCAATTGTCTATTTCTTCAACTTCAGTTTCGGTAATATTACCTTCTATTGAATTATCTTGTTTCACCCAATTCTCCATTGAATTTCCGAGAATTCTCGCTTTCGATCTCTTTGTAACGCCAACTTGTATAAATTGCATTTTAATATCGTCCGGACATTTTGGACAACGCTCCATGTGCTTCTCCATACGCGTTGCATTTTGCGTGTAAGATTGATCGCAAAATTTACAGAATGCAATTACCTGCGTGCCATCGACTTTCTTCTCGAAATAATTCCAAACAATTCCACGTTTCTTCACCATGATGACGACGATGGAATTTTTAAAAATTCACAAATTTATCTACTCGAGCCTATAAAAAAAAGTTTTTAATTAATTTCAAAATAAATTTACATATTTATAAAAAAATGAAAAAAAAATAAAAACAAATTCAAATAATTAATGTAATCGTAGCCTTGCATTCAATAATTTATTTTTAAAAAGTAGTAAAAAGTAGCTTTAAGACCGAAAACAAAATAATAACAATTAGCATTAGCAACCGAAAAAGTATTCTACTTTACGTAATTTATTATCCGAACCCGATTCCACAGTAATTTTAGACAAAGTAATACACCGGAAATTTATTCCCAGCGAAAGAGTAATTTAGCATATTCAACAATTCCTATTTCAGGAAATTTTTCTAAATCATTCTGAAATACTCGGAAAGAAAAGACAATAATGGTCGCCACAATTTTTTTTTTGTTAAACATGTCAGTCTTGAATATCAAATATAACCTAAAAATGCCAAATCTGATTTCATTGTCCCATCAAGAATTCGCTTACAAAAATTATAAAGACAATAAGTATCTAAGTATTTTCCGAAAAATTCTTTATTATCATGACCGTCTGCTCGTTGATGAGAGTATTGAATGAAGCTTTTGAAACATACCTTGTTCACGAAATTACGGTTTTCAAGCAGTTGGAAATTTCTCAGCTTCCACCATTTCACGAAATCGACTCGCCGAGAAAAATGACGCATTAAAGAGAAGAACACACACGTAAAACACTGAATTAAATACACACACACAAAAGACGTCAGGGCGTCGGTCGTCGTCACGAATGTATTCAACCAATCAGAGCGTTGAATTTATTTAAAGGACCTTAAAGGACCATCCTCCATTGGTTCGTTTCATTTTCCACTTTAATATTCAACATTTAAATTTTAATAATAATATTCGAAAAAAACAAATTATTCAATTTAATTTGGAAAATAACAAAACAATCAAAAAATATTCCTATTGAAAAAATTAATAATTTATTATAATTAATTACTTTCCGCGTCGGTAAATATTCTGCGGTAATTTAACACTTTACCGCCAATTTGAAAACATATTTTACGCGGGAATTTTGAACCCAAAATTTCGATTTTTTTAATTAAAAAATAAAAAAATCCCTGATTTTAAAAAAAAAATAAATTTAATATGATTATTAATTTAATAAAGTTGTTAATACAAATCAGTTTTCCTTATTATATTTATTAATTATTAAATAATATTTTTATATTTAAATTTTGTGGTTTTATTTAAAAGAAAATAGAAAAATTAAGAAATTTTTAATTTCAATGAAAAAAGCCTTTTTTTCTTTTATTTTTGAGGAAAACGAATTTTTGAGAGAAAAGGGAATATTAGAATATTAACTCACCGGCTTTTATGACAGGTACAGGTACAGTATCAGTTTCAGGTTCCTCAAAATTTTTTCTCATAGTCCACATATATTCATTGTAATCTTGCTTAACACTTGTACTTGAAGATGCAACAACTTTATATCCGAGAAGTTCTAAAGCTGTCAAAATTACGCAGGGATGTTGCAAATAAACTATCGTCGAATCGTCACAATATCCACCAGAGTCAAAACGATTCAATTGCTCCGTATCTTCGGCTGAAATAATAAATTATAATTTTAATAAATAATATTCAGCGGGAAAGTTAAAAAATAATATAATAGAAAAAAGCAATTATAGACATTTTTCTAAAAACAATATTCGGAAATTTATTTACAGTTGAAATAAATTTTTATTGACAACGAAAATAAAGGGAGAGTAAAAGTGTGTGACCTATATTGATTCAGATTAAAAAAAGAAGTGCGAAGAAGAAGTGCAACAATAAGAATAAAAAAATGTGCGTAAGGGGAATTTTTGTGGGGACAAGAAAAATGTAATGAAAGATAATTAGTGCCTCGCAACAAAAAATTACAACAAAATTTTTTAGTCCTCGAATGAATACCTTTGAGACCAGATACAAGAACTCTCCAAGGATACCTATGACCATAGGAAGCAAGGTTACCACGTACCAGAATGTATGGCATCTGTGATATTGAGCTACAACAAACTGCAACAATTGCCACTACTATTTATCATGATTTTTCATTTTTTAATTAAATAAAATTAAAACAACTCTTTTTCGATGCCATACAATCAAGAAAAAAATTCATAACCTAAAATTTGTTAATTTATTAATTTTCCCACTTTATAAAATGTATAAAATGTACAAATGTAAAAAGTACAATCATATTAAAATACTATTATGTATATCAAAAATCAATAAGACATGAAAAACGAATCCTCCGTCAAATGAGTAAGAAATAATAAATGAGGAAACCGAAGGAACTAAAGTAATTATAAGGGTAATTAAAAATAATGAAGGATTTAGACGATTAAAACAAAGAATGGGAATATACGCATCAAGTTACCTTGAATGTTGATTAGAATTATTATTAATAACAATAATAATATAGCGCAATAACGCACAATAACAAATCGCAAATTTCCTAACCTCAAAAAACAAGAAAATTATCGGATCACTGACTGAAATGAAAGAAAATTCATAACATGCAGACAACTGTAACTAAATCCATAAATTAGACCACGGAAATGAAAAATAAGCACTATTTTAATAAACATTGGGTATAAATAATAAAAAATAGTTAAAATATCGGGAAAAATCGAAAAAATGTACGAAATCAAAATGTTGGACTGTGGCCATAAAATTTTGTTCTAACACATAAATATAGTGAAAAAATAGTAACAAAATATGTTTCTTACCTGAATTTAATGATTTTATATTAAATAAACATGAGATTTAACACTAAAAGTTTATATAAAATTCACGAAATCATCTCAAGGAACACAAGTGTCATACAATACGCACCTTCTTTTCATTGGCCGGCGTTCGTGGGAAAATGCAAATGGCCGCCGCAGTGTTACCAACCCAACTTTTTGAATTATTCCTCGCGCGAATTTGAATTCAACCAATAAAAACATCGTATTTCGGTTTTTACTCGTATAAATTTGGTACTACTGTCAAGAATGATATTTTGACAGGACAACCACTTTTTGGTGACGTAATTTGTGTTATTCCATAACAATTCCATAGTTTATATTTCATATATTTTCCATAAAGAAAATTATATTATAGAAAATAAAGAAATAGAATTAATCGAAAAAAATGTCGAACACTAAGCAAAATTCAAAGAAATTAAAATGGGCCCTCGATTTTGGAAGCAAGTATGTTGAAAAGTTTATTATTTCTAACCTCAAAAATCGAAGTAAATTTTAATTGAAAAGGGAATCAAATTTAGTTGTAAATTTATTTCTTTTCAGAAGTAAACAATATAATGAATTGGCATCGCCACCGGGTTTAATTCCCGGATATGCATTAACGTCAGAAAATATGAGTACGTCAGAGGAGAATGACTCGAATCATTTAATAATTAAAAAATCCTGGGATCTTGCCCTGGGTCCTTTAAAACAAGTTCCAATGAATTTATTCATTATGTACATGGCCGGAAATTCAATTTCAATTTTCCCAATTATGATGGTTGGAATGTTAATTATCCGACCTGTTAAGGCGCTTTTCTCCTTACAACAAAGTGAGTATTTGTTTTCTTTTTTTTTCTATTACGATTTTTACTTGTAATTCTTGTAATACTTGCAATTTTATAATTATAATAATTGTAATTTTTTAATTTAATATTTAGTACCTTTAATAATTTTTCTCTATATTTATGTTAATTAGCAAATTTTTTTCTACAGCTTTCAAAGTGATAGAAGGAACGCATGCCTTTGGACAGAAATTTGTTTTCTTTTTAGGGCAAATTGTTAATATTGCATTAGCTTTATATAAATGTCAGTCGATGGGTTTATTACCAACACACGCGTCCGACTGGTTGGCATTTGTTGAACCGCAAGCACGAATTGAATATTCAGGGGGAGGTCTTATTTATGTATAATCTTAATTCTATAAATGTATAAGGAATTTTGATTTTTTGATTACCAAAAAGAAAAAATAAATTATTGATAAGGCGATAAAAAAATTATCTTACTTTTTCGATTCCAAAACAAGATTTTGTTTATTATACAAAAAAATATATAAAGTAAACTTAGTTATTATAATTAAAAACTAGTTATTTATTTACAAATCGATTTTCAAAATTTCAGCTGTACATTTTTATTTTTATTTCTATTTCTTTTTATGATCGTCTGCAAATTGTTTTATTCTCTCGAATATTTTACTTGGTTCATCGACACGAGGCACCTGAAATTATTTTTTACAATATTAGCATCTGTTACTGTTCATATTTTTAAAACTTTTAATAAAATTTCACGAAAGAATTTAATTATTCTCTAAAATTTTAATAAATCCTTCTAAACAATTCAATCATTTTTTGCATGAATTCAATTATTTTCAAAACAATTTTAATTGAATTCCTCGGACGAATTCAAATATTTAAAAATATTTCCTTAAATTTCAATTATTTCCTAAAATTTTAATAAATTCTTCGAAACAATTCAACAAAAATAATAAATAGTAAAATTCTTCGCAAGAATTCAATTATTTTCAATTGAATTTTAATAAAATTCTTTGCGAGAATTCAGTTATATTTCTAAATAATAAAATTCTTTGAAGAAATTCAATTATTATCAAATTTTTTGATAAAATTCTTTGCAACAATTCGATGATTTTTAATACAGTAGTAATTTTAAAATTGAAAATATTTGAAAAGAAAAATTATAAAAATGTTAAGAAACAAAAAAGCAAACAACAACTAACTTCAAACTGCGAACAGATTACCGAAAATTAGACAAAACAATGTAATAACAATAACTGATACCTAATAATTAAACATTTGTATTATCTATAACAAAAAAGATAGAATTGTTTATTTTATTTGATTATAATAATACAAAAAAGAAAGAGAATAAAATACCAAGTGCGTCTTAATTTATAAAGTTTATAAAATTTATAAAATACCTCATAATTTTGGCTGATGTAAATTCCAGCATAAATTCCTACAGACAATGTAACCTAGAAAATAAAATAACATCAAATATTGTGATTTCTTTTAAAAAATCATGACTTATGGGAAATATAAATAAGAAAAACGATTAAATATTGAATGTTTACTTACGACAAATTTAATCATTTTGAAGACAAAGGCAAGCGTGCGTGACACACACAAATGTTACGAAAAATAATCTAATTTTGAGACACTACTGGCACAGAGAGACACACAGAGAAACTTTGTTGCACTTTGTTGAATCTCCTGCACGAGCTGTCAAAATATTTCCCACCAAGGTTGATGTAAAAAGTTAAATTTTAATACTTATAACACGGTCCATGCTGAATTTCTTTCAACGAATCAAATGTCGAATCAGCTGTGTTTTTTTGACGTCATGCGCGAAAGAGGTTAATTTTCAAAAAATTGACAACACTGACTGTTCATGACTGTTTTATTGTTTTTTCAATATTTGTCATATTTGTCAATTTTCAATTATGAGGTGTTATTAACATTAAAAGAAAAATTAATATTATTAATAATAATAGATGAAAACGAGAATTAGTTCTCCTAAGTACGATTAATTGTACAGTTAATGATGTAATTTACAAGATTTATAACGACGTCACTTTTATAACCTGTGTGTGTGTTTTGTTCGCTAATGTACGATGACGAATAATGCATTAATAATCTGTTTGTCTATTTAACTTTTAAAAAAATAGAAATGTTTCACGCAATCTGAGAATATTCTCTCATATATTTTACTGCTGACGTTTTTTTTTTCTTAGCTGATGGTCAGTCTCTGTCGACATCAAGCAATAAATACATCGGGAAGTGTGAGTAATTTATATTTACTTATTTTTCTAGAAACTACATTCTATATTTTAATTTAATCATTTAATATATTCACTTTTTCTTTTATTTTAAAGTGCATCAAGTGCATTTAAACTAAATATATTATATAAAACAGAAGTGAAAAGAATTCTAACCTACAAATCCTTTTAATTTTATATGATTTTATATGTCCCGTTATAATTATTATTTTTCAGTATTCTTTTTGTGTTTTTTAAATTACCCTTAAGGAGGGTAAATAAAGGGGTAAAAGGGTAAAGGGTTAATAAGTTAATTACGTAATTCAGTTTACTTTTTTTCCGCAGGGTGTTGTATTTTTCGATTCCTCGACAAACATGGACGATGACGAGTATCTTCAACCGGTTATCTCCTCCGAGGAGCAAGATAATTTTCAAAAGCTGGAAACAATTCCAATTGTCGCTGTTCCACTTATTTTTAGCGTATGATTTATTATATTTTACAAAAATCAGGAATGTTCTTTTGTATTTTTTCTATTTTTCTTTTCGTTTTTCTCTGTGCAGGTAGCTCTGGAAATTAGTGGCATTATTTTTGTATCTCTTTGGCCAAAAGAGGTGGACAAATGTGAAACTTATTTTATACTATTGTATCTTCATTGTGCCTATTGGATTATAATTATGGTTGTTGATTATTTTATCAAAGCTCGACATCATAATCTTCGAATATCTGGTTACTTGGATTTTTATCAATCGACTTATCAACACATAAGAACGCCACTTTTTATCGTGTCCCTGTGCAATACTTTTTACCTCTTTTTGGCTGTTGTTCTGCATCAAATGCACAAAGCCGATTATTCAATTTATTGCAAATCATCGGAATTATTTACGCCACTCAATTATATTTTTCTATTTACAACCATTGAAGTCTTCATCATTGTGCCTACATATGTGAATTATATCAGTGAGTATATGGAAAGTTTTTTTCTATATATATAAATTTATTTCAATATTCTTAAAAACAGTGAAGTTTTTTAAAAATAATTTTTACTTAAAATTTCGAAAATAATTTAATTTTATGAAGAATTCAATTATTTTTAATAATTGTAATAAAATTCTTTGCAAAAAGTCAATTTGTCAATAATAAAAATCTTCGTAAAAAAATTCAATTATTTTTATTTATGAATAATAAAATTCTTATCAGGATTTCACTTATTTTCAATATAATTTTAATTGATTTTTTCGAAAATTTCAATTATTTTCAAAAGTCTTGTAAAAATTCTCCGAAAAAATTAAATTATTTTCAAAAAAAAAAAATTGAATTTTTCATAGGATAATTTTTAGAAGATTTTTAATGAAAGAATTCAATTATTTTCATAAATAATAAAATTTTCGCTGGAAATCAATTATTTTAAATTAAATTTTAATTGAATTCCAGGGAAAATTAAATTATTTTTAAATTCTTGGTAAGAATTCAATTATATCAATAAATAATAAATATTTTCTAGGAATTCAATTATTTTAAAAACAATTTTCATTAAATTCTTCTCAAAAATTCACTTATTTTTTAAAATTTTGCAAAAATTCAATTATTTACAGAAATTTACTCAAATTTTTTAAAAATTGAACCTGTTAGAGAAATTTTATAAAAATTATCTTGAACATAATTGAATTTTTTCCTAGAAATTTTATTAAAATTGTATTGAAATTTGAAATTAATTGAATTTCTCAGAAGAATTTTATTGTTTACAAATATAATTGAATTGTTGTCAAAAATTTTACAATTTATAAAAATAATTGAATTTTTTCGAAGAATTGTATCAGAATTGTTGGAAGTGATTGAATATTTATTAAAATTCTTGAAAATAATTGAATTTAAATAATATTTGTAAAAATAATTGTATTCTTTCGTGAAATTATATTAAAATTGTATTGAAAATAATTGAATTCCTTTGTAGAATTTTATTATTTATGGAAATATTTTAATTCTTGAGAAGAATTCTCTTATTTATGAAAATATTTTAATTCTTGGGAAGAATTCTCTTATTTATGAAAATAATTAGATTATTGCGGAGAATTTTACAATTCATAAAAATAATTGAATTAGTTCGAGAATTTTATCTTAATTTTTAAAAATAATTGAATTTTTTGAAGGAATTTTATTAAAAATTATAAAAATAATTGAATTTATATTAATATTCTTGTAAATAATCGAATTCAATATTAATATTTTGAAAAATAATTTTATTCCTTCGAGGAATTAAATTAAAATTACATTAAAAATAATTGAATTTTGATTATTTTAATTTTTTCTCAATTTTCTTATTTTTCCATTTCTGTCATTATTAGAAAAGAGAAAGTCATTTATTTTCTAAAAAAATTACTTTCCATTTTCAGAGCGAGTGCACAGATTTAATTATTTAAAACCTCCACCGGATGTGACCCAGGAAGAATGGTTGACATCATTTAATCAAGATTCGTACGCGGGGGGAAGTGGTATCGGTTTTCATCAACGTGGTTCTAATGTTACAGAATTGCTCGAGAAACAAGCCGATTTGATAAGGTACTTGAGAGACCATAATGTAAATCTCAGCCATCGAATGATGCTTCTCGCATCTCAACGTACAGCTCCTCAAACGTAATTTTTTTTTACCATTTAATTATCAAAATCCAATTTTCCAATATTGTTTGACTGATATTGCAAAAAAGGAGAGAAGAAAAACATCTTCAATAATTTTTTACATATTTTAGAAAATAGTCGAATTTTGCTAATTGTACAGCTTTAATTAGAAAATAATTCAATATTGCAATAGAAGTTAAGTGAATTATTTAATTAACTAAAAGAAAATTTTTATTGATCATTTGAGAATTGTAAGAAAAACTTCTTTATTTGACAATTAGAGAGAAAGTACTTTTTAAAAACCTTTCGAGAATTAAAATTATTAAAAGAGAACGTATTCAGTTTTTATCAACAATTTTTATTTACAAAAAGAAATTATTATTTTTTGTCATAAAAAATAAAATTTACTGTAAGATATTTTTATTACTCTACGATTTGGGAAAAATCTGTTTACTTTTTGCTATTTCGTTTATTTTATGTGGTGGAATTATTATATTAATGGAATTATTCCACTGTTTGTAATTTTTAAACACTGAAATTATTTTTTAATACTTTAATTATATTAAAATAATTAATATAATTATTAATTATTTCTACGATCAGATCTAATTCGTTGTATTATTATATTTAATCTTTTGAAATGCGAATTTAGAAATTAACGGGTAGCGATGAATTTCTTTTTATACGATTTCGATCTAGTTGATAAGAAAATGTATTTTTTTTGTCCGTTTTTTCTAGAATAGAGAAATAATTTTCTAGTCCCTAACGGCTCATGGACTGGATTTCTAGATAATAAGATTTTTTTTATTAATGTCTTTTGTAATTCGACATTTTACAAGAGACATAATTTGAAATTTTTATTTTTATTCTTTTTTTTCCGCATCGAGTGAACATTAGAATATAATGTTAAATACCAAACTTGAAAGCAGATCGAGTTTTGATGTTATTCTAATTCTAGAATATTTCAGTAAATTTTTTTGCTGAATATTTAATCATTACTCATTACTGTGATATTATTGTGTACCTATGCAATTTTTCTAATTCTTTAAAAACTAGAATGTATAGTATTTTTTCCATTTGAAATAAAATTATAATCTAAAAACTCGTTTATTAATTAAACCAGCAAATGTCACATTTTTTTTTTTTACTTTTAAGAAATTAATTTCAATTTTCAACTAATTTTAGATTTGAAATTTAAAAAATTCTAAATAAATTTCTTTATAGAAATTAAATTATTTTCAAAAATTATTATGTCAATTGTTTTCAAAACATTTTCAAAAAATTCTTTATAAGAATTCAATTATTTTTAAAAATTCAAATAAAATTTATTTATAAAAATTCAATTATTTTGAAAACAATTTTAATTGAATTTAATTATTTTCAGAAATAATAAAATTCATCGCAAGAATTCAATTATTTTAATTATAAGTAAAAATTCTCAAATGAATTGAATTATTTTAAAAAATTTATTTTAAATTCTTTAAAAGAATTCAATTATTTTGAGAAATATTGAATAAAATTCTTTTATTTTTAAAAATGTTAATAATATTGTTCTAAAACAATTCAATTATTTTCCTAAATTTTAATAAAATTCTTCACAGGAATTTAATTAATTGAAATATAATTTTAATTATAAATTCCCCAAAATTTCCTAGAATATTTTAATTTTTTATACAAAATACATTGAAATATAATAAATCACATTAAACGTATTTTGAAAGCAGGTAAACAAAAGAAGAAGTAAAATTAAATTAAAATTAAATAAAAAAAAATATACAACAATAAAAAACAAATAAAGTCGAAGAAACCTAGAAAATGAAGAAGAAGAAGATGAAGAAAGAAGAAGAAAAGTATATGCAATTAGTTAATTAATCTAATTTGTTTATTAGTTAATTATTTATTTTATTAGTAAATTAATGATTCAATCAATTAAGTTAGTTAATCCGAAACAAAATTAATTTAACAAATAAACAATCATGACAAATAAACATCAAATTTATCAGTTTTAAAAATATGTTTATTTATTTAGACAAAATTCTTTAAGACTCTTATAAAGTAACAAAGTATTTCACATTTTATTAACTTTAACAAACTGGAAATGATAAAATTTCTTCTAAGTTAACATTTGAAATAATCGAAAATATATATTAATAAATAATAAAAAAAAGCGAGAAACTTTTCGCATTTTTTTCTTCTTTGCATTAACTCAATATTAAAATATATAGAATTTATTCAGAGATAAATACTGAACTAGCGATCAATCGTCAATTATTGCTTAGGAAAAATTGAACGAGAGCTTTTCTCCTCTGAAAAAATCGATTAATACTTGAAAAAAATTGATAAATATATTATCTTTTTATTATATTTATATATCTTTACGTTTTATCTTATTTTAATTATTATTATTAATTATTTTTTTTTAATACTTTTCACGATTTTCAGAAAATATATTATATGTATATTATTTCTTGTTCAAGAAAATAAATAATGATCTAGAAAAAAATATAATTTAATTTCTGATTTAAAAAAAATTTTTCTTTTTGCTAAATTTGTAACTAAATTCTATTTTTTTTTACTGTGTGATTATTATTTTTGATTCGTAAATGTATTTTCTAATTATCAAATTTTTCTTTTATGATTATTCCACGAGAGGAATTAGATTATGAATGAGATTTTTAAATACGAATTTTGGGGGAGATGTAAATTTATGCGTCTTCGTCTTCTTGTTCCTCGACAGATTCTTGACGAGTGGAAAAAACTTCTTCTATTTGTGGTGAATCTTCTATCGTCTCAACCATTTCGTGATGACTTTCTGGTCCTTGGAAGTCATCGACTATTGGTTCTGAGCCATCGTGTTCAATATCTTCTTCTCCTTCCTCTTCAACCTGAATTCAAAATATTTCAATTTTAATTAATTTAATTAAATTAATTTAATAAAAAAAAAATAATTTAATTAATTTCGAAAAATATGGGATAATTTTTATCGAGTTTGTTTTTTAATTAATGAATTTTGATTGTTCGACCTGAGTATTGTCTTCGACAGTTGGATCGTCGGGATTTTCTTCTTTCTCATGATCGGAAAGATTGCGATGAGCATAACTGTCTTCAGTGCGATCGTCGTATTCTTTAACTTCGTCTAAACTTGGTACAGCGTTTGTAACAGCAACCAATCTTTCTTCATCATCCTGTCGTCGATTGCGATTTTCCTCAGCCAATTCCTTAGCGAGACGTTCCTCTTCATCTTCAGCTGCCGCCTCCACAGCGTCTCTATACATTCTACGAGAATAAAATTATTTCCATTAATTTCTTTTTCCATTCATTCATCTCCCAAACACACAGAAAAGGAATTCTCAATTGAAAAAGAGTTTTATAAAATTTTTCTCTCTTGGAAAGGAATTATTAAAAAATAAAAGAATAAAATAGAAATTTAATTATTTATCGATTCAAAAAGGAATTTTATAAAGTTTTTTTTTGGAAACAAAAAAAAATAATTTTTAAGAATGAAAAGAATAAAGTAAAGGTTCAATCAAAATTATTTATCGATTCAAAAAGGAATTTTATAATTTTTTTCTCTTCGAAACAAATTATTCGAAAAGAAAATAAAAATTATTTATCGATTCAAAAAGAATTTTATAAATTTTTTTTTTTTGAAACAAATTATTCACAAATTTAAAAAGAATTTTTCTTTTAATTTAAAGCCAAGATTTTTGAAATAAAAAATAAAAAAAACTGTTTTTTTTTAAAATTTTTTAAATAAAAAGATTAGTTTTAGTGGTGAAGTGAATTTATAAAAAACAAAATTTACTGAGAAGTTTATGATGAAAAATGTTAGTTTCAGGGAGAGAAGCTTTTTATTTCTAAAAGCTGACCTCTCTTCTTCGGCTCTTCTTTCAGCAGCTTTGCGCATCTCTTCCTCCAGACGCAGTCGTTCCTGAACTGCTTTCCTTTTTTTGTTTATTAGAAATTATTTGTTAATAAAATTAATTGCTCTCTAATTGCTAATTAATCTAGAAATAAACTCATGAATGAGGTTCAGTAGATGGAAAATTAATTCTCGACGGACAAAATAGTAAAAAATTAGAAAAAAAATTGTAATTGTAAATATAATGCTTAATAATCGTTTTATAAAATGAGAACAAAATATTATTTAAATTGAGAACAAAACATAATGTAAAATGAAAATAAAATATTATTTAAAATGAGAACAAAACATAATGTAAAATGAAAATAAAATATTATTTAAATTGAGAACAAAACATAATGTAAAATGAAAATAAAATATTATTTAAAATGAGAACAAAACATAATGTAAAATGAAAATAAAATATTATTTAAATTGAGAACAAAACATAATGTAAAATGAGAATAAAATATTATTTAAATTGAGAACAAAACATAATGTACATAAAATGAGAATAAAATTAAATAAAAATAAATAAAATGGAAAAAATAAAGAAAATGTGTTTTGAACTTTGGGATTTTTTTACATAAAAAAAAATGAGAATTTAAAAGCAAAATCGCTTTAAATTTTTTACATTTGTTTGGATAAAAAAATACCTTTCCGCCTCTATTAATCTCTCGGCTTCCAAACGAGCTTCTTCCATTCGTTCCTCTTCGGCTCTTCTTAAAGCTTCTAATCTCTCTTGTTCGGCAATTTCGGCCAAACGAGCTTCCTCCTCAGCTTTTATCAAAGCCAATCTCGCAGCTTCTGCAGCGTCCTCCAATCTCTTCTGTTCCGCCTCTATTTTCAGTCTCTTCTCTTCTTGTATTCTAAAAAAAATTCTCTTATTAATATTATTTACACTCAATGGAAAAAAATTAAATAAATAATAAGAAATAAAATAATTAATAAAAAAATAAATAAATAGAATAATGAATAAAAAAATAGAATATTGAATAAAAAAATAGAATAAAAAATAAAAAAATAGAATAATGGATAAAATAATAAAATAACATGAAAAATATAATAAATAATAAAACAATAAATAAAAAAATAAATAATAGTATTTATGAAAATAATTTTGATTTTGGATGAATTTTATCAATTTTCTTTTTAAATAATTCAATTCTTTTTCGAAATTTCATGAAAATACTAGATATTGAAATAGGTAATTGAATTTCGAATATTTTTTGAAAATAATTGAATCGTTTTAAAGAATTCGAAGACAAATTTTTGAAAATTAAAAAATTACCTGGCTTCTTCGATTCGCTTTGCCAAAAATGCCTCGGCTCTTTTAATTGCTTCTTCCTCCGCCTTCTTTCGACCTATAAATTAAAAATAAAAAAATTAGCATATTTTCAAGAAGAAAAAAAATTATTTTCTGTATAAAATTTCAAATTTGTATATATTTGTATATTTACATAAATATCCGTACATTAACATAAATATCTACAAGTTTACATAAATATCTACCTATTCAAACATCTAAATATTTTTCTACATTCTATATTATTTTTTTCCTTCTAATCATAACATTAACAATTATCAATCAAAAAAAAAAATTAACAAAAAATTCCACAGGTGACGAAAATGCAAAACATGAAAAACATTGAAACTAATTAAGACTGGATACAGACATATAATTAGAAAACAATTAAAATTTTCAGAAAGGAAACAAAGTGACATTCGCAATATTCCTGAATTTTTTTGGAAGAAAAAAAAATTTTTCTATTTTTTCAGAGGGAAAATTTTTTCATACCTTCTTCATCTTCAATTTCAGCTTCCTCTTCCTTTCGTTTTTTATCTTTTTTTTCCTTCTTTTCCTTTTTCTCCTTGACTTTCTCACGAACAGGTTCAATCTCCTCTTCTTCTTCTTCTTCTGGTCTAATTTCTTCAATTCTCGCCGTTTCTGATACACAAGGATAAGGATACCAAAGAAAAAAAAAATTTACGAGAGAAAAAAATTAATTTTGCTTACCTTTTTCCTTCTGGGCAATTGACCATTCGGTTTCTAAGGCTCGAGCTAAAATTAAGGAATCGAAATGAAACATGAAAATCACGGTCAGAAAATATTAGATTTCTAAAAAACTACCAATAACTAATGACTAAATTTTCTAAGAACTAGAATTTATTTTGATAATGAAATATTGTTATTTACGCAAAAATTCAATAGATGAATAAAATAATTTAATTGATAAAAAGGTAATAATAAAATAAATATAATAATAATAACAAAGAATTAAAATATTATTAAAATTAAAATTATTATAAAAATTAATAAATAATAATAGTAATAATTGTAATCGTAATAATAAAAATATTTTAATAATAATAACAACAATAATAATAAAAATAAATAAAATTTAATAATAATAATAAATATTAAATTTAAATAAAAATATTAGACACGTCTAGAAACATTCATTCAAATAGAAAAGATAACAGTTTTGAAAAATGAAATAAGCAAGTAAAGAAGAAATAAATAAAAAGACAGTTAAAATTTAACAAAAAAATTGTAAACATTGATTTTTAAAAATATTTATAAATTTATTTATTTTTCAATTTTTTAATTTTTTAATTTAATAAATTTAATAAATTTATAAATTTTTTGTGAATTTACTAACCCTTTCTTAATTCCCTTTCGGTCATCGGTACTTCGGGCACTATGAGAGAAATTTACAACATTTAAACAATCAGATATAGTACAGAAAGAAAAAATTTTTTTTTCTTCTGGTAAAAGTCAAATTTACCAAAAGAGACGAAGCACAAAATAGAAAGAAGTATAGATGATAAAGATGTGTGATTAAGTAAAAAAAAAGATGGTGCAAAAAATTAAGTTATTAGTACCAGCAGAAAATTCACCAAAAATAAAAAAAATAAATAAAAAATAAAATCTAAAAGAAGCGTAAATTAAATTAAATTTTTATTTAAATTCAACAAATTTTTGTGAGAAATATTATTCATACTTCGTTAATTTGCTCTTTTTTTCTTTTTTTTTAATGTAAAAAATTAAGTCGTATGATTTATATGAGATTTTTAAATATGGGAGTTTTATAAATGGTCCATGAATGATCTTTAGAATACAGACAATTTTTTCTCTAATTTTTTTTTTCATTTTAATCAGTAAATTTTATATTGAATTATTAATCGAAATTTTTTCGAGTTTGTTTTTAATTGGCAAAATTTTTTTTCCGAGAGAAGAATTCAAAACTGAATTAAGTATTTAAATGAAGTAATTTAATAATAGTTTATTAATCGGGTAATTTATTTTTAATCGTAATTATTTATTTACTATTTAAAAAACAAATCTTTTTCAGTTGTTTTGAATTTAGAATTAAGTTTATTTTTCTATTTTAGAAAAAAATTCAAAATTCCGTATTAAATATTTTATTAAATAATACATTTTTAATTGTAATTAGAATCAATGTACTAAATAGCTAGAGTAAAATTTTAATTTTATACTCAAGGAGAAAAAATTGCCTGATTCTGACAGATCTTTTAATAAATATTTAATGATCCAGCAGGTCAGCTGTCCGAAATTGAGATGAGATTTCATAATTTCACATTATAACCCTGGAATCACACGTATCTTCTTTAATACTGGATTCAAAAATTCCCCCCAAAAAAAAAAATGTTATGATGAAAATGTGCCGCTTTTTTCTCCAAAAAAAAAAGAATGAACCCATCAGGACAGATAATTAAGCACATGTGAATAAGCTTACCTCCAACACGCATTCATTCTCTATGCGGAATCTTCTATAGCTTCGTGCAAAAAGTGAGTAAAATATTGTTTTCAAAAATGTTTTAACAAAGGGTGTTTTTTCGTTTTAATTTTCATACTTCTTCAACGTTTGGTTGGTTTTTTTTAATTTCACAAAATTTCGTGCGGGACACAATTCAGTGTATTTCCTGTGTTAGTGTCTTTTTTTTGTCTATTTTGTCTTTCTTTTTATTTTCAATAAGAAAAATTCATTATCGAAAAGTTATTATCGTTTTTTAATAAAAAATAATTATCGTTTAAAATTTTAAGTCTAGAGATATTGTCAATATTTTTTTGCCTTCACTGAGACTCGAAACTTATAAATTAAAAAAATTAATTCAGTAAATATTCGTGTTTGGTTTCATTTGTTTTTGGTGGGAGGATAATTTTGTAAATAATAATAAAAAAGTGGATATTTGAGTAAAATCGAATTCTGCAACGTTTCTATATTGAAAATAAGAGAATTTAATTAAAAATCGAAAAATATTTTTATCACAGTGTCAATTTCAAGCAATTCCAAATTTTGTACTTCTTTCCTGTAATTTAAATTATTATTAATTCGAATTTTCTCTATTTCCAATTATTTTAAGTTCGAATTTTCTGTATTTTCAATTATTTTAAGTTTAAAATTTCCTTTAATTTCAACAATTTTAAATTCAAAATTTCTTATAAAACCAAATATTCTGTGTTTCAAGTTTTTCTAATTTCAATTCTTCTAAATTTCAATTTCTTGTAATTTGAATTATTTTAATAAATTTAATTTCAAATTTCCCATAATTTTAATTATTTCAAGCTCAAATTTTCTGTAATTTCGTTTATTTTAAGTTAAAATTTCTTGTAAATCCAAATATTCTGTGTTTCAATTTTTTTAAATTTCAATTTCTTCCAATTTTAATTATTTGAAGTTCAAATTTCCTGTAATTTTAATTATTTAGAGTTCGAATTTCTAGTAATTTCAATTATTTCAAGTTCAAATTTCTTGTAAATCCAAATATTGTGGTTGCTAATTTTTTCTAATCCCAATAATTTCTAAATTCCAATTTCTTGTAATTTTAATTATTTTAATGAATTTAATTTCAAATTTCCCGTAATTTTAATTATTTCAAGTTTAAATTTCTTGTAAATTCAAATATTCTGTGTTTCAATTTTTTTAATTTCAATTTCTTCCAATTTTAATTATTTGTAGTTGAAATTTCCTTTAATTTTAATTATTTGAAGTTCAAATTTCTTGTAAATCCAAATATTGTGGTTGCCCATTTTTTCTAATTCCAATCATTTCTAAATTCCAATTTCTTGTAATTTTAATTATTTTAATTTGAAATTGCTTGTAATTCCAGACATTGAAAGTTCCAATTTTTTATCCAAAATGATGATTGCAATCTATTTCCAATTATTAAAAATTTTTCCGATTGATTCAAATTTTGTCCGCTTCATTTTATGTTCACTTGACGATAATTCCCACTGGATTCCAAATAATTTTCCAAACTCGTAATAATTATTATTCCATATTAATATTTAGTAATATAATTAATAATTATTATTCCGCACTATTGATTTATGGTCCTTTTCAATTCCCTCGAAACGTTGCAAACTTCAATTTTCCAAAATCTGAAAACTAATTTTGTAAATCAGTTTTTATTGAAGAAATAAAATTTGAGAATTCAAAAAAATACAAATTTAAAATGTGCAAATTGTAAATTTATAGAATCTAATTTAAAGAATTCAATTTTAGAGAAAAAAAAATATTTTTTTTTGAGAATAATTTTGTATGAGGAAAAGAAGAGAAAAATGAATTATTGTGGAAATTAAAGTTCTGTTTGACGGGGGGGATGGGAAAAAAAATTGTTCAATCCTCCAAAGGCTCGGGTGGGGCGTCTTCTTCTTTTTTGGATTTAGTGGGATCCTCATTCAGCTCGGGAACGCGATCTCTCCATCCCTGGCCTGAAATATTTAAAATACCCTCTGGTTCTTCTACTCATATCGCGAGCATCCAATTTTGGATTGCTTCAAGTTTCGAACTCGTTTTCATTTATTCCTAAATTTTCGATCTTTTTCATTTAAAATACCTAGTAGGTTTTCTATGACAATTTTTTTTTTGCTTTAAATTTTAATCTTTTTGCTCTAAAATACGCAATAATAAATAAAATTAAAATTGTTTCATAAAAATAAATCCGATTTCCTCCTTCAATTTTCCATACCCGCTTAAAAATCCAAATCGTCCACATTTCATCTGCTGACACTTTTCTTTTTTTTTTTTTTAATTTTGGTTTAATTTTAATTTCAATTTGTTATTTTTTTTAATCTACATTTTATACTACAAAATTTATGGAATTTTTTTTTTTTATTTATTTAAATTTGAGCAATTATTTTATTAGACACAATGTAACAGAGAGAAAGATAGACAGTAATAAAAAAGGAGAAAAATAGAAAATAAAAAAAATATGCACGTATCACATACACAAAAAAATCTCTCAGACAGAAAACTTGAAAAGAAAAGGACAGAAAACCAAAAAAATTCCACACAACGGCGTCTTAAGGCCATTTTTTTCACAAAAAATTTCTGATACTGACTAATAAATTCTAAATAACGAGTAAATTTTCAAAATCATCATCACGAGTTTTCAAGGATGGAAAAATTTACTTATCTAATTTCATACAAAATAAAAAACTCATGAGTATGATTTTTTTAATCTATAAAATAATTTGTCTTTTAAAATTTAATATTTTCAATTTATCTTTTTGAAAATTCTCGTAAATAATTTACTGAAATTAGTGGGAATTTCATAAATTTTATAATTTTGCATCCGTTTACAAGGCGCCAAATTTGACAAAAAATGTTTAAAAAGTCAATTATATTAATTTATCGTGTTAATTAGATTATTTTAATCTAGAGTTTTCAAATAAGTTACTGACAAAAATGGACAACAATTGCTTTTTGCAGTTTTGTTACAAACTTTCAGTTCTAATTAATATTTTTGCCTGAAGAAAATACATATTTTAAATTCTATTGATTAATAAATTAAAGAAAATAAAATTAATTAACCAGACAATATTAAAATTTAATTACACAAATAATTGAAATTTGTATAAATTTTTTTTTGTTGAAAAAAACGGAGTTTCAACGATTCGGCGCTTTTTTCGGATCGCAAATTAAATTTAGAATTTAATGTCCTTTTTTTCATAGCAAGAAAATTTAATTAATTTATTTTCTATCTTATTTAGAAAAAAAAATATTTTTTTAGAAAGAGATAACAATTTTTATTATTTAGAAAGAAAAAATAAATTTTTTAACAATTTTACTTTTTAAATGTTTTCAATTTTAAAATGAATGTATTGAAAATCATTGAATTGTTGCTAAGAACGAATAAAAGTGAATAATTATAAAAAATTGAAAAAAAATTCTCAATTGGACATTAAATTCTAATTTTCTTTTTTTTTTTTTTGAATTAAGAGAAATAATTTACCCACTATCTGAAAAATGTGAAATAAAAGTTACTCACAAGATTTGTCTGCAGCCAGACGATTTTTGCGATAGTAGCTGAGAAAATTGACATCATTTCTAACATCGGTTGCCGTTAAATCGGCAAGTTTATAATAGGGCCTTCTTTTTGATTGTGGTCTTCCTCCAACGTATCGCACACATGCCAAATGTCCTTCTCCCAAATTACGGCATTCTGGCGTTTGATACCAAAGATTAAGATATTCAAGATCCTTTCTGATGTGTTCCCTCGTATTTAAAAGACGTCTAATATAATCACTCCTTAAATTTTCGTCAATGTAGTCGCTGCGTGTCGATGGAAAATAAACGAAAAAAAATCGTCTAAAATTTTATCCGTAGCAAAAAAAAAATACCAAAAAAAAAAACCAAAAAAGAAATAACCTATCAATAGAAATCAATTGAAATTTTTCATTTTAAATCATTGTCAAATTATATAAGCGTGACAAAACTCATCTGCGTGAGACATCTGAATGACCTTAGTTCGATTTTTGATTTTTTGATGATGGTTATCGACCATGAGCTGCTTTTGCGTGAAGAAAATGTAGATATTATTTTAATTTCTATTGATTAATAAATTAATTAATGATAGGCGTATTTCTTTATTAACTTTCCGATTAGGCATTTTTGGCTTTATTAAAATTCCTTCCACCGAAAGTAAAAAATGTTCCCTTTTTTATTTTTTTTTTCAAAAGAAAATTCTCTGGTATAGAAATTTTAATTTAATTTCAGAAAATAGAATTTTTTAATTTCAAACTGAATTATTTATTTATTTATTTATTATTTACTTACTTATTAATTATTAAGTATAATGATAATAATATAAAATAATTAATGCTAACATTAATAATAAATAATAATTAAATTAAAAATTTAGGAACATTTCTTAAATTCGATTCCGTTATTCGGAATTATTAATTTATTTATTAATTTAATTACTAATTAAATTATTCGAAATTAACTAATTTTGTAAAATTAAAAATAAAGAAAATGCTTTATTTTCAAAATTGCATTGAATGGTAAATTATTCATGAAAAATGGAAATGATTGAGTGAAGTTTTCATTTTTAGAAAAACTATTAATAATAAATCCGTGGAAGTGCATTTGTTGAAAATGTCAGATTATTATAATAAATTAGGAATATTAATATAATTCGCTTAGATCCGAGATTAAGGAGAAATTAACGAGAGAAAAATGAATACCTGGGCGATGGTTTTGGAACGAAGACGTGAATTCTACGAAGGAGTGCATCAGCTCGCGCTCTAATTTCTCTGGCTTCATCGTCGAATTCCTGGGAAATATGAAATTGAATTAGAAACGATCGTCGAGAACATTTTTTTCTTTCATTAATTAACAGTAAAAGACTATTTTTTTTTTACTTTTTATCTTTTCATTTTCTAAATTAAATTTTTAACAACCATTTTTTTCGAAAATTATTTTATGATAAAAAACAAAATTTAAAAAAATAAAAAATAGAAAACTTTTTTTCAAAATTATATAACGACTTTTTATATAAAAATTATTTTCCAAATGTAAAAAATATGCAAATTTTATTTCTAAGAAGGATAATAATTTATTAGTAGATTGAGAAGATAAAAATTTAATTTTTAGTTTGCAAATTATGACACTTTTCCTTTTTCATTCAAATCAATCAATACAGAACGTATAGAAAAATTATTCTTGTTCTAAAACAATGTTAAGAAGATAAATTTTTTTGTGTAATAGTGTAAATTTCGACTCTTATCCCTTTAAAAATATTAATTTCACAAGTTTGCCACAAACATTTTGATTTTATTTTTCCGTGATTCCCAGACAGAATTTAATTATTTTTAATACTATTGTAAATATATTTTTTGAAAGAATTTAATTATTTTCAAAAATTCTTATAAAATTCGTCGAAAGAATTCAATTATTTACAAAGATTTTGACATTTGTTTACTAAAATTTCAATTATTTTCTAAAATTTTGATAAATTTGTTTATTAGAATTGAATTATATTTTTAATACAATTTTTAATTAAATTTCTCTTTGATAATTTTTAAAAAATTGAATGAAATTCTTCGAAACAACTTAATTTTATTTTCGAAAATTTTAGTATCTTCAATAATTATTTAGCTAATTATTAAAATTAAAGCTAATTAAAAGATAAATTTGATGTATTTCGATCTTACGATAAATAAGATTTTCCTCACAAATAGAAATCAAATTATTAAATTTTAATAAAATTCTTTGAAAGATATTCAATTATTTTCAAAATAATAACATTCTTTGGAAGATTTCAATTATTTTTTTAAATAGTAAAATTAGTTGCAGAAATTTAATTATTTTCATCATAAATAATAAAATTCTTCGCACGAATTCAATTATTTTCAATACAATTTTAAGGACATTTTTTGAAAGAATTCAATTATTTTCAAAAATTTTGACAAAATTCGTTATCGGAATTCAATTATTTTTAATACAATTTTAATTAAAATCCTTGAAAAAATTTAATTATTTTTAAAAAGGTTTAAATGAAATTCTTCGTAAAAATTTCTTTATTTAAAAATTTTTAAATAAAATTCTTCGCAGAAAAATTGAAAATTTCAAAAAATTTGCAATTAAATTATTTCTGAAAATTCACTTTTTTCTGACTTGTGTCTACTTTGTAAATATTTTAAATATTTGAACACCAAAAGTGCAGAATTGTTTTTTTTTCTTTTAATTCTAGAAATTTAATTCATTTTCCGGTACTTTTGATAAAATTCCCTGGACTTTTCCCTTTGATCAATTTTACGTTTCCTTGTTTTTTCCCCGATTTTCCTGACCTACTGTGGCAAACGTGTGGAAAAACTTAAATTTTTTAGTAAACAAAAAAAAATTAGTTTATTATAATTATTTCTGTCTAGAAGACAATAGTTAATCGAATATGACGAAAAAATAGATATTTTTTTAAATCTATTTTTTCGTCATATTCGATTAATTATTTTTTTTTTTTTTTGTAATTTGGAGACGGAAACTTACAATGTTTGGCCTGGAGTTAAGATATTTTTCAGTGTACGATACAGAAGATGGCCTCTGTCGATCGCGTATCCTGTTGAGTTCTGCTGCAAGGATACTGGGCCTTACTCGCGAATTTACTCTCACAGTTACAGGAGATAATGGAGATCCAGTATAATAAGAATGAGCAGGTGTGTGAATAATGGTGACGAGCCTCTTATGAGCCACATATGGCAAGTAAGGTATTGTCCTCACCTAAGATACAATATTTCTCACTTTCAAAACAAAAATCTCTCTCTTCCTCCATCCATGCCAAAAAATTAATTTTTTCTCACTCTCTCTCTCTCTATTTCTCAAAAGTATCCATAGCAGCAGAAGCAGCAGCAGAATTTAGATCAGTCAGTCATTAAAAAATTCTTTTCAATCTCAAGATTGAATTTTGATTCAATTTTCATTGATTTTACTCAATCTCAAGATTCTTAAATTTAACCAACTGGTCCATCGATTCCTTTTGTTCGAAAGTAAATTATGTTTTTAATTTTGCCAAGAATCCGCAAAGAAGAAATGAATGTAATGAATGAAATCCTGTAAAAGCGAAAATGTTAGTCTGGCTCTTATCGAACTCTAATTCTACACTGGAAAAAAAATTTATTTGATTCAAATAAAAGTAAAATCAATTAAATATTTACTTGAATCAAATAATATTTATTGGAGTCAAATGGTTCAATTCATATTTTATTCAAATAAAATTTAATTGGCTCCAATAAATATTATTTGATTCAATTAAATACTTATATTGATAATAGTCAATTAGTCAATTTATTTAAATCAAATAAATTTTCTTTTCAGTGTATATTAATAAAAATTTGATGATTCAGTGAAGATATTTCGATTTGATTCAACAGATATTGAAATTAAACTAGAGATAAATACTTGATGTGGAAAAGCGTCATTATTTGCTAAAGCTTTCCAAAATAGATTTTTGGAGAAAAAAGTGAAACTGTTATTAAGAAAAAAGTTGTCGATTTTTCGTAAAAATAAAGGAATTTTCGTCACTCACCTGAATATTAGAAGAGATGGGGATGATGTAGGGGGTCTGGACCAATTTGACGGTGAAATATTGAGAAAAGGCGGCGGCGATGGACGTGAAGCAAGGAAGATAAAAATAATAATACTCTATTAGTATTCACCTTCGTCTTTACAATTTTTTTTCTTCAAAATGACAGTAGAAATTCAAATTCTTTACTGAGATATAATTTTTCCCTCATTTACAATAATTGTTAAAGAAATTAAATTTTTTTGGAAAAAAATTCAATCAAATCAATTCTATATCTATAATTTTTAAATACTTCAATGTTCCTGTAAATTAAAATTTTTTAATAAATGAATGAAATAAAATAAAATTAATTAAATTAAAATCAAATGAACTTCCATTTTCCAGGGAGTAAAATAAAAATCAAATTTTGCGGAAAAGTTATCACATGGTGATAATTTTATTTCTGCTTTGTTTACAATTAAAAACGTGTTATATTCAAACTTGCAAAGAAACTATTACACAGCATAGGAAAACATCTATTTTGTTTTTAAGAGCCATTCGTTATATGAAATCAGTAACAAAAAATACAATTATACGCTCGTGTCTCGTTTGGCCAGTTAAAAATATTATTCGCTTCTTTAATTTATTAATAATATTTCTCTTCATATATAATAAATAATATTCTGCATTATTTTTTATATACAATATTCGCCTTATTATTAATAAACAAAAATAATTTTTTTCCTCTATTCTTCTAAATATTATTATTAATTGATTCGTTAATAATTCTCTCAAACGAAATAAATAAAAAAAAAGAAAAATGCCTCGCGTTTAGCAAAAACTAGTTTTTAGTTTTTCTAAATGCAGCAGTTTCGAAGAAAATAAAAATCCGTATGTTTCTCTTTCGATTTCAGTGAATTTTCCAAACGAATTTTATTTTTATATTCTATTTTAATTAATTTTAATCGGTCCGAATAAAAAAAATATTTTACAATTTTCAATAAAAATCTAAACAGAGGGAGAAAATTTTTTTGCATCAATTTTTTCGGAGTTGAAAATTCCCGAGAGATTTTTTTAGAGATAAAAATTTTCAAGGGGTTTTTTTGGGGGGATAAAAATTTCCAGGAGGGTTTTTTTTCAGAGATAAAAATTCCCAAGAGGTTTCTTTTAGAGATAAAAAATTCCCAGAAGGATTTTTTTGGAGATAATAAAAATTTCCAGGAGGATTTTTTTTTAGAGAAAGAAATTTCCAGATTTTTTAGAGATTATAAAAATTCCCAGCAGATTTCTTTTAAGAGATAAAATTTCCAAGAAGAGGATTTTTGCATTCGGCAGTGAAAATTAACTGAAATCGAATTAGGCAAATAAAAAAAAAAAGAGAAAAATGAAAATTTAGACGCGGTAGGAGAAGTGACGATAGGAAGTGCCACCAGGTAAGCGACCGGAAGAATGAGTCTCGTATGAAGAGCGATATCCACCAGGGCCGCCGCCGGTTGATGTTCTTGATGATCTTTCAGTGGAATATGAGCCGTATGGTCCACTCTCTCGTTTAACGACATTTTCCGTTGTATAAGAAGAACGTTGAGGACGTGAGTAAGGATCCGATGAACTCGACGCGTTGCTGTTGGTGTAGGAGTAGCTGTACTGCTCCTGAGCAGATCTCAATCCAGATGACGGATAATCACGCACCACATAGTGTCTTGGCGTCTAAATTCGGGACGATACAATAGTAAACGATTTTTTTTTTCAGCAAAAGAAAAAAAGAGGAAAAAATCTCCAATCACTTTTTTTTACATTCTTTTTCAATTCTTCCGTCTCTTATTGTAGGAAAGTGTCCGTTTTGTGTATTTTTAAATATTGTTCCAGTGTTTAAAATTTGTATTAAAAAAAATCTTTCACTCAATTTTTCTTTTTCTTCAATTCGTTTTATTCTTTTTTTCAGTCTTTAAATTTAAATATTTTAATTTAATATTTTAATTTAAATATTTTCAATAATGATTAATAGAAAAAAAAATTTCTTGGGAAATTATTTCTCACGTGTATTCTAAAAATCTATAAAAAATAAATCAACAAAAATGAAAGTAAAATAACAGAAAAGTAATTATATTTTTACTTTTCTCTTTAATTTTTAAATATTTTTCCTTAACTACTTATTTTTTTTGCTACGAAATAAAAAAATTAATTTGAAAAAAATAAATTTGAACAAATTAATTTGAAAAAATTATTTTGAAAAAATTAATTTGAAAAAATTAATTTGTAAAAATTAGTTTGAAAAAAGTAATTTGAAATAAAAACAAAATTACTAACAAAAATTATAAATAAAAACAATTCTAACTAGAAACTTTTGTTTACAATTATAAACAAAAGGAAACTTTACAGAAAGTTGATTTTAACAATTACAAATAAAAACAATTATAAGTAAAAAAATTAACTAGAAAAGAAGGCGAATTTAACAAAAAAAAAAAAAAAAATTAACTATATAAAAAAGGCGAATTTAACAAAAAGGAACAAAATAAAAAAAATACAACTAAAAAAGGCGATTTTAACAAAAAGGAAACAAAATAAAAAGAATTAACTGTAAAAAAGGGGAATTTAAGGAAAAATAGAAACAATCGTAAATACAAAAAATTAATAATAAAAAAGGCGAATTTACAATTATTTTTTGGTGTTTTGGTAAACAAAACAATTAGAATTAAAAATTTAATTAAAGAATTATGAATTTTCATTCATAATCGTCTTTAATTCTAATTGTTAAATTCGACTTAACTGTAAAGAAAGGCGAATACTTTTTAAAATCGAAAATAAATTTTTGAGAAAGAGAAAAATTGTAGTAAAAATAAAAGCACGATTGAAAGTGGAAAAAAATGGTTAGTCTTTAAAATTGCCAAAGGAGCTTTTTATTCGCGAATTTAATGCAAAAGAGAATTCTTTTTCTTTTTGTATTAAAAATTCTAGACTTTTTTTATTATTAATTAATAATTAATGATTAATAAAAAAGAAAAATCTCCTTCTCGTAAATTATTCAGGACAATATTCTGCGCTAATTCATTAGGCAACTTTTGCACTCCTTGCCAATTGGTGTATATAAATGCTTTTATATAATATAAATGTATATGTGTGTTATCACTCTATACATATATATTTTTTTTCAAGCACATATACATTCATATAAATTTAAATATGTTTTGGTAGCACTCGGTGTCTCGACCTGATACTTTTGGCATAGTTTCTTAATTTAAAATCTAGTTTGTATATAATGTAGATTTTTTCTGTTTTTTTTTTTTTTTTTGTTTCTAAATAGAAAATTGCATTTCGTTCAGAAATTTTTATCAATTTTATTTTTATTAATATTCCCTTAATACATGAGTAGCTAATTTATTTTATCAAACACTAATTAATTGTATATATAGTAATATTATTATGTGATTTGTATGTATGAAAAAACGTCTATATCAAAAAATTCATATATATGGAAATGTGAAAAGCGTCGGACGGCAAAATCGCAAGCGAACAAAAAAATCGAGGAGCAATTTTTGCTTTTTTGAAATATTTAAAAAATTAATTTCTATTTATTTCGAAAATATTTCTATTTTTTCAAATAGTTTCTCTCCATTTCAACAAAAAATTCGTTATTAAAAATATTTCTTTTTATTGAAAAAAATTCCTCCTTTTCAAAATAATCTCTCTTTTTCAAAGAAGTTCTTTTTATTTAAATAAAAATTCTCTTCTTCAAACCAATTTTTCTTATTTCAAAAAAATATTTAATACAAAAAATCCTTTATTGAAAAAAATATTCTTTTTAATAAAAAAAAATTTCTTTATTGAAAAAAAATTCCTTTTATTGAAAAAAAATGTTCTTCTATTATTTAAAAATAAACAGAAATTATTTGTTAAATATTTTCAAAAAATAGGAAATATTCTTCGAATACAAAAAATCAAGAAGGGGAAAAACGAAAAAAAATGTACTATTTAGTGCAAAAAATATAACGGACAAAAAATAAAATAGTAAAAAAACAAACTTATTGAAAAAAATTAAGAATAATAAATGCAAAGCGGAGGGAAACTAAAAATAAAGCTCCCGAGATCTAAAAAGTTAAGCGTGAATGGAAAAATACTAGTGTGTGAAATTGTGCGCAATTTAATTTAGTGTGTTCATTATTTATTCGAGAGATTGTTTTTCTATTTTCCGGAGAATTTATATTTCTCAATTGTATTAATGTCAATATTTATTAACTTTTAAAATTATTAGTTAATATTATTTATTAATATTAAGCAGTATTCATTAATAAAAATACTAATAATGCTAATATTAGTAATAATAAAAATAATAATGTAATTAATAAAATTGTCTAACTATGAAATTAAAATGTTATGAACCGAAAATAAATGACAATTTATTTAATTGTCAGATACAATTTTAATTTTAAATTTACTATAAATTAGAAACATAAGAAGCCATTTAAAAAAATCTATTCAAACAGATCAGTTACTTGACTTGTCAAATAAATATTTATTTTCTAACAATTAATTATTATTTGAATAAATTAATTTGATTAAATAATTGTAAATTGTAGTTTTACTGAATTAATTGTAAATTGTAATGTTACTTAATTAATTGTAAACTGTAATTTTACTCAATTAATTGCAAATTGGAATTTTATTGAATTAATTGTAAATTGTAATTTTACTCAATTACAAATTAATTAATCAATTATAAATCTAGAATTAATTTTTATTTGAATCAAATAATATTTATATTTGAATCAAAATTTGATTTTAATTAATTAATCAATTATAAATTAAGAAATAAATTATTAATTATTAATTTCGAAATTCAGAAATTATTGATTAAAACATAATTTCTTTGATCCAAATAAAAAAAATTGTTCAAGTTTAAATATTTACTTTTTTACTAATTAAATAACTGATTACTTGAAATAAACAATTTTCGACTCCGAATTTAAAGAAAGGCTATGACAATTTTTACTTCTTTGATTTCAAATTTCAATCAAAATTATAAAATTGATAAATTCATAAATTATAAAATTGATAAATTTATA